AATTACTAGCTTGAAAAGCAAAAATTCACAGGTGCAGGTGTGTGCAGATTTTGATTGCTGTTTAGCGATAGTGTGAAAAATTTACATGGTTGTGAATTTTGGGGTGTAGATAAACTTAAGTCTGCTGCAAACTTCTGTAAATGACCACTGGCACTGTAGGCACTGTATCTTGAGTGACACTCGGGTTTCTGGGGACTCACTGACAGAGGCAGCACGCGATGAGGACATCGATCTTGAGTCCGGGGAGTATGTGCCAGTCGGTCATTTCGGGAAGTTTGACCTTGAGGGACACGAATATACGTGATTTCGGAGTGAAGTTTTATTTTTCAAAAATTCGAATGGAGCCTGTCATGTTCAATTTTCTCGCGACAACTGAAAACATAAAATGAAAAATCAGAATGATCGAATTAACAATTGCGGGAAAGTGGTCAAATATATACAGTGGGAAATCGCTATTCGCAATTTCCATCGTAGAGAACGAGAGTAGAGCTGTCCTATCTGACATAGGAGACAAAAAGAACACGAGAGCGGAGTTAAAATCAACTGGACCAGTGTGAACCTTCAACGGAAAGGCGGACAAGTGAAGTGTCCCAATGGTCCAGAGCCAAAACTATATTCTTGAGTAAAAACTTACTTCCCTTGATTGGAACTCATCAATAGAAAACTTCTTGAGTTATATTTGATTATATTCATGCCAGAGTCGTTAATTAGTTCAATTACTCTGTGTCTCGAGCGTGCTGCTATGTGAGTACTAAATTTAGTTTTCTCGAGTGTGTTTTATGATTGTTATGTTGAGATAAGGCGAGTTTCAGGTTGATCCATCTGAAATGGATCAAAGTTCCACTGTCTAATAAAAAATAACTTAACGGATTGTTCCGATCCTGTTTTTAACGGCGTTCGTGTATTTTGGGTATCTCGAGACCTAAGTATGGAAACGTTCTTCTTTTCGAGAGTCGGGGGATATTTTGGTAGTGGCCTTTAAGCTGTAACGGGTTCTAGTCTCATGTCGCAAGCGAACCGAATTGGCTCCGACCGTTTTTGAGGTAGAAAAACAGAGATAGTGTCCCTGACTCTTGAGCCAATGGTTATAGGGCCTATTTTTCTTAAGCCTCATATGTGACCGAAGTAGGCGACTGTTACAAGGTAGGAAAGAAGACCAGCAAAAAATAAGATATTTCGAACCTGGGCAGGGTCGGATGTTTTTAATGAACTTTTTCGTATGTTAGCTAAAATGAGGCATGTAACTTGGTAAATTTCTTTTTTTTTTCAAATTGACTGGTACTGCTAATGCGTCATAATTGGCTTGCATCACTTAGCAATTATGTAGACTCATAGTTGGTGTGCGTCACTTGATAAATTTTGTAGACTCAAAGTTTTACTCATTCAGTTTTTCCCAGTAGCGTTGTCGGTCATACTTTTGCTTGTGTATGCGAAGTGCAGCTTCGCGTCTGTCTCAAAAAATTTTATTTTTGGAAATTTGTATACCTCGAAAAGCTTTTCAGATATAAGGCAAAGAACGACTAAGGTTTTTGAAATTACCCATTTCATTCCGCATTAGAATAAAAACTCAAAATATGTCCAATACGTACCTCCAGCTGTAGCTGGGCCCCTAGCTATATTTTAACGAAAGTTTTAGTTCACCTAGTTTGTTTCGTTTCAGAATTTCTCATTTTTTGGCTTATTTTGTTTGTCCTGTATCGCAAGTGGTACGAAGCTCTGCTTCGTCTCCGTATTGAATGGTTATTACCCATTGCTGCATCGCACCAGATTTTTTTCACACTCTCTTCAAAAGGCGCTAACTTTGAAAGCATGAAATGGGCGCATAGTCAAATCACCAGTGTTTGAAGCTGCATTGTTCACCGCGAGTGCCTGAGAACGAAGATGTCATTGAAATTTTTGAGAACGAAAATATCATTGAGTTTGAAAGTTTAAGCCAAAGATTTTTGTTTGCAGAAAAAGTGCTAAATCTATTATATATTTAAATGCGGGCTGCACTATCTCGCCATATTTAAGCTTTTTCAACGTATTATTTTTGCATGTTTTACAAAAGAATTTTTTCACGTTCAAGCTATATCGTATATTGCAATGGTTAAGATTTTTCAATTTTCTAGTTTGAATTCAGTGTTATTTCACCAAGTTTGAAATTAGCAACCCAATATTTGGATGCTGGCTGGGCTGCACCAAGTGTGGCGATTATGGCCTCCATGTATGAGTTACCAAATATTTTTAGCTTACGAGATACGGCAATTTTCGAGATTTTTCAAAAGTTTCTAGAAAACGTAATTTTAAAATGTTTCACAAAGTTTGAAATTCTCAACCTTGTAGTTGGGTGCTACCAGGTTTTCTCACTGCTTGCGAATCTTACCTCTAAATCTAATCTCTGTTTTCGAATCCTTGTAGTTTTCGAGATATGACGTTTTTTATGATTTTTTCAAAAAAACAGATTTAAAAAAATCTAAATATTTAAAGATCTCAATCCTGTAGTTGGAAACTCTGAGGTTACTCTCAGTGGTAGCGAATAATCTTGCCTCTGAATATGACTGCTCAAGTCTTTGTACTTTTCGAGATATGACGTTTTCTGTGATTTTTTCCAAATTTTTCAGAAAACCTAAATTTAATTTTTTTCCTTCAAATTGTGAAACTTTTGTTATAGGGCTGTCAGAGTACTCTCAGGGTCTCTGGAGTTGCGTATCTTTCCTTCAGATATGACTACTCAAATCCTTTTAGTTTTCGAGATATGACGTGATTTATGATTTCTTTTTAATTTTTCAGAAAACTAGCACGTTAGAGAACTGAGCACGTTAGAGAACTGAGCCTCATATATTTTGCTTTCTCGAAAACTCAAGCCTTCACTTCAGTACACAATATTTTGTTTTGTGCCCGAATAATTAAGCCTGGACCACCTTTTAAAAACTGAATTGACACCAATAAGAACCACAATCAAATCTAATCCAGTTTAAAACTCCATTAGTTGCTTTTACAAAATTACCTCTTGATGTAATTATTGGTTTGGTTATTACGCGATGTGTAAGATTCCAATTGAATATTTATATGCTTTTGTACATGTTGATTAATTTAAGTTTTTTATGTAATTGGAAAAAAAAAAGAACAGTTGTCTTCTAAAATGAATAAAATTTTGATGAATAAAAAAACATTGTTACTTGTAAAATTTTTCAGAAAACTTGGATTTTAAAAAATTCAAAAAGATTTGAAATTCTCAAACTTGTAGTTGGGTACTGTAAGGATACTCTCAGAAGTTTCATGTTGCAAGTTTTGCGTTCCAATGCGACTGCTCTAATGCTTTCAATTTCTGAGATGTGACGTTGGTATTTTTTTTAATTGTTCAAAGAACTTAGATTTAAAAATTTTCTTGTGTTACCATCTCTGTAGTGAGGCTCTATCAGCTTTTCTCTTCAATTTGAACTGCTTGAATCGTCGTAGTTTTCGAGATATGACGTTTAAATGATTTTGTTCAAAAATAAATTCAGAAAACTTAAATTTAATTTTTCAAAGTTTGTGGAATTCCTAGCCCTGAAGCTGGGGGCTGTCAGAGTAGTCTCAGGGGTTGCGAATCTTGCCTCCAAAAATGAGTGCTAAATTTTTTTTGTAGTTTTCGAGATATGGCTTTTTTCTTGGTTTTTTCAAAAATATAATCAGAAAACTTCAATTCAGTTTGTTTTGCATAAAAAACAAGGTAATTTTTATGCAAAATAAAACTTTGATAAAAAAAATCATTAAATTTATGGTAAGAGGTAAACTTTGTATCCATTAGATATTAGAAAACATCAAAGTTTGACGCGTTTCGGTTTTATTATCATCATCAGAACTGAAAATCAAAAAAGGAACTGATTATAAATACAGACACTATACAATGACAGAAACAAGTTACTACCTGATATATATCAGAACATAGAAACAAGAAAATCCCGCGCCTGCCTCTGCTCACAGTTTCAGGGTCAAGTGTCGCTGCGCATACTCTTTAGTATTTAGCTGCGGGTCCAGTTGTGCGATATAGATAGCTTCCAAAGATAAAAGTTTGTCGGAAAACCTCGTCTTATCAACGATCTTGCTCTTCACATCTTTCATATGCCCGACACAATTCAGAAAATGCTCTCCTAGTGGAGATGTTCGCTTGAGATGCTCTGAGAGCCGAATGGCAAAATGTCGATCGTGTTTAGTGTCTGTTTTGTTTAGTGTCTGTATTTATAATCAGTTCCCTTTTTGATTTTCAGTTCTGATGATGATAATAAAATCGAAACGCGTCAAACTTTGATGTTTTCTAGAATTTATGGTTTTCCAAAATTTGAATTAAAAAAAATTTGACTAACTTTACAAAATTTGAAATTGCCAACCCTGTAATTGGGTGCTGTCAGAGTACATTCAAAGGATGCAAATATTATTTCCAATATATACCGTTTTTTATGACTGTCATAAATTCGAAGCACCGGAGGTGCGTTACACGCTAGGTTTTACTGATGTGATCAGGATTCAAACTTTCGCATTAAGTTCGTTAGCATTAAGATTTTACATTAATTTAGTTTTTTGCCTGAAAGGAGAGTTGAACTTTTAGCTAACCTTTAGGGAAGGAATACGTCACCTTAATAGGACCTTCCCTTATCGACCAGCCCTGGTTAAAAAGATTTTATATGGAATCAGACGTGTCAACAATTAAAAAGACAAGTTGAAGTTTAAAAAAATGTTTTTAATCTGGACTATTCAAGTTTTTCAGATATCGCATAGTAGTTGTCGTTTACTCGAATTTGTGGGGTGAGTGGAGTTCTTTTTGGGGTGAAAATTACGGGAATTTACTGTTCTAAATTTTCTTATCTTAAATATATACTCGCTTTTCGTGTTATCTTCCATGTACACACAAGGTGTTGGTTTATTACATGGAATAAGTGGTATTGCCCACTTATTCTGTTCAAAGTTTTCTTATCTTAAATATGTACTCGCTTTTCGTGTTATCTTCCATTTACAAGGTGCTGGTTTATTACATGGAATAAGTGGTATTATTTCAGATATTTGTGGGAGTGGTTTCAGTGCGGTTAGTTTGCGGTTTCTAGACTACCGTAAAAGATGAGTTTGAACAAGTGATCAATTCAAGTTTGTCCTAGATACTGGCTGGAAGTAAGCTATCCGCGATGGCTGAAATGACAAAAGAAGACTTCAGAAAACGATATGAATCGGTAAGGCGTAGGTTTTTCAAAATTTGTATATTTTTGGGCAATTTAGTAATTACTAGAATTTCAAATAATTAGCGGCGTTGCTCCTATTATATTTATCTACTAAGTTTTCTATTATATTATATATTTATCTGCTTTTGCATGTCGGGATTTTCTCATTATATGAAAAAAAATTTTCGCTGTAATTTTTATGCAAAATAAAACACACGTGTTGCGTATGTCTCGGTACAATATTGGAAAAGTTAGTGCATTATTTGAAACAGTAGTGCAATATCCTTCCTAGAGCAATCATCCAAAATATTTCAGAAAGAAAAAATCACGTGAAAACTTTAAAATGAGTGTGTAGTTCGAGTTTAGTTCGAAATAAAATTCACCGGTGTTTCATACCAGACAGATAAGCAACAGTTTATTTTGAATCTCGAAATTTGTTCACATCTAGACACTGCGTGTCTCGATTTCACAAATTTTCTGGATGCAATATATATCTGTTGCTTATCTACTAGATAAAACGCTAGGATGCAACATGTTTACGTGTTTTTTTTGAACAATCAAACAAACGAAATACACTAGTATTAGTGGACAAAATTAAGTGCAAATTCAGGTTTTTACTCTCCAAAATGCCTTTTTCAATCTCCATTTAGGGCAACATTTACTTCGATTTTCAGCAAAAATTTTACAGACACCAAGAGCATAAATGATCAGAGCTACCCTCTATGAAACTATCATTGTTTGGTTTCAAAGACTATAACTAATGTAATCCGGGTGCGAAAATGCCAGATTTCCTTATCTGCGCTAAGCTTTTCAACCCGCGTGAAAAAGTAACTAACAGCCGAGCTTACTAAAACTTTCTCACTGATTATTTTAATTTTCTCGTTGCAAAAGTTTTACGTCGCATAAATAAATTTTTTACTCAGTTCATTCAAGAACGAGTTCACTACGATATAAAATTCAGTGCAGGTGAGGAAATCTGGAATTTTCAGACCCGGATTTCATAGGTAAGTCTTAGAAACCAAACATTGATAGTTTCATAGAGGGTAGCTCTGATAATTTTCTCTGGGTCTATGTACAAGTTTTGCTGAAAATCGAAATAAATGTCCGAAATGGATTTTGAAAAAAGTCATTTTAGAGAGTAAAAACCTGAATTTGCGCTAAATTTTGTCCACTTGTGCAGTGAGTAAAAACTGTGTTACAAGTCATTTTCATGCACCAGCTTTTTTGTGATTGGATGTGTTAAGGAAATAATTAACATAATCATTTTTTAAATTGAGATAGCCGAAAGTTTGTTAATATGTTTATTTAGGCTGCGATAATCTACCTTATTGAACCGGCCGTGATAGTGATTTCCACGAAAAGTAATTTTCAAAATTAAGCTCGAAGCTATTCCGCAACCGTTTTGAAATCAGTGAATCTAGTGTCTTTGCTTATCTTAGTTTTTATTCAGGTACTCGAATCAGTTCTAAGTTGCGACGTGTTGTCAACAGACACAAGACTATCCGATGTTCTGGAACGATTAAGAAGTCTCTTGGATTACACTGTTCCAGACGGGAAACTAAACCGAGGCTTAGCCGTAGTCCAAACATACCAGCTCATCGAGAATTCGAGAACAGACATTAATGATGATGAAAAACAAGCTTTGAAAGAGCAAGCGATATACGTAGGATGGGCTGTTGAAATTATGCAGGCGTTCTTCCTAATTGCCGATGATATGATGGATCATTCTGAAACAAGAAGAGGCAAACCTTGTTGGTATAAAGTCCCATCTGTTGATCTAGACGCTATAAATGACACGTTCTTCTTAGAACAGATCGTTTACAAGTTGATCAAAGCAAAGTGCCACAAACTGCCTTGTTATCCAAAGATTGTTGACTTGTTTCACGACATTGTATACCGAACAACAATAGGCCAAACGATGGATTTGGTCACAGCGCCCGTTGGTAAACCCAATTTGGATAAGTTCTCAGAGGAGCGCTATTTGAGTATAGCGACCTACAAGACTGCCTATTACTCAATATACTTGCCAATCGTCTGTGCTGTTTTACTGACCGGCCTTGACTCTGAGAAGTTGCTGAAGAAAATTGAAGAAATATCCATAGGATTGGGAGTCTATTTTCAAATTCAAGATGATTTTTTGGATTTATACGGGGATCCTGCAGTTACTGGAAAGATAGGTACTGATATCCAGGATAACAAATGTTCTTGGCTGGTAGTACAAGCCCTAAAGCATTGCAGTAATAAGCAAAGGGATATTTTGAACGAAAATTATGGATATTTCGACGACTTAAAAATCGAAAAGGTTAAAGAAGTTTTCGAACAGCTTGATTTGAAGTCTAGATTCAGAGAGTACGAGGATTCAAGTTACCATAAATTGATGGAAAACATTTCAAAACTCGAAAATGATGGCGTAAAAAACGCGTTCGAAGTTCTAATAGCAAAACTCTATAAACGGTGCAAGTAGATTGCCTGTTGTTGACCTAATTTATTTATCAAGTCTTCAAATGTGTATCATGATAATTAATAGAATGATTTTTACTTTCGTATTATTGCGCTTGCAATTGGCAAGCATGATCAAATCGGAACATACAATTTTTCCAGGCTAAGAACTTGTCTAGCAGAGTCACTGAAGCTTTTGGTCTGAAATGTTCAATTTGGAAAATTCACAATTAACCGATTGCTGTTCCTGATAACTATTGCTTATCTTGGAAGTGTACTGTTGGCGTTGAAGTGACTTTGTGTCAGTCTAGTTTTAACTCCATGCAATTTTTTTCCACTTTAAATTTTTTATCTATAGTTTAATCTAGTTATGATTTGCTCCTGTAATATTAAATACTTTCAGCTTCGTTTCTGTTTATATTTTTTTCTTGGATGTTTCTTTTTCGCGGTTTGACTTATGATTTTTTTAAGGTCAGCTCGTTTTATTTTTTAAAAGGAGGGGAAACTCCACAATTGAATAGCGAAAATGTAAAAGTCACGAAAAACATAATGGACTTTTACCTTCGAAAGTGGAATTCAATTATCGAATATCCCAGCGAAATAAAAAATTTTTACCTATTGCTCCAGTTTTTGCAAAATGGGTTAATTTTATCAAAAGTTCTAGAATTGCAAAGAGGTTCAAGGCTATTTTTTTTCTTTCAATTTCGAAACTTAATTAAACAGAAAAAATATACGGACTTATTTTTTGAAAAATCCCAAGTCCGTATATTTTTGTTTAATTGTGTTCATTGACTTTTCTCCAACTGTCTGTTGGCTCTGTTCAGATTTTTCAGCGGAAAAAAAAACACCTACTGATCCAGGTTTTTTGAATTATAAATATTTTTTTATCAAAAACGAGTCAATCATAAATTGTTCGTAATTCAAAGATCTTTAAAGCGATTTGTTTTTTCTTTCGAAAGCTGAAGTGTTTTCGAAGAAAGTCAGTTTTTTTTGTTTCTTTGGTGTTCATTGACTCTTTTACAGCTGCTTGTTGGCTGTTTACTTTTTTTAACTTTAGAAGTTTTGTCCTAAATCATTTTCGGCTAATTTTATATAGGTTTAATTGCTTCATATGCGTTGTTTGTAGGGCGACAAAAGATTTTTAGGCGTCGGGGTGGAATTAAAATTTCCAAAATTATATTGCTCAATATTTTTTACAACAGTTGCATTTAGGCTCAACGCGTTCCAGTTAAGTATTGTAGACTTAGTTGCAAGAAAGTAAATTTTGTCATAATGCTAAGTGAGCTTTTACATTCAAATTGCAGGACAAATTGAGCTTTTCCTCAAATCGAGTCAAACTTAGAAATTTGTAGTCAAACTCAGAAATCGAGTCAAACTTAAAAAATTTTTCAAACAGTTTTTAACGTAATTGCATTAGTCTCTTTTTCTGTTGGCTTTCTTGTCATGTTATCTTAATAACGTATCGCGTGTGATGCGAAGCTCCGCCGCGCCTCTGTGTTAATTCACATTTTTCTAACCACATTCAAGGCAAAGGAGGAGTCCACCATGACAGTCGATGTGTAACCAGCACAATTCTTGGCAATGAGTGGTTTGAACCGTTGGTTCGCATTAAAAGGAGGAGGTTTTATGCGCATTCAAATCTTTAAGCAACATGTGTTTCATCCGCTCAGGCTATAGCCGGTGTTCAAAAAACTGGTGAAAAATTAAATATGTGTAAAATTGTTCAGTATTTAAGTAATTGTTTTTTTCCTAAGCCTTCATTCACAAGGGTTATTTTTTTATTCAAGGCGTGTATCCGTTTTTTCTTATGAAATTCATAGGTCCAGTTCTTAGAGCTTATTGAATTTTGTAATATGTTATTGTCTAATTTTTAAATCTATATAGCTTTCAAAAAAACTAATCCATTAAGGAAAGTTGGCATTTTGCTGCATGAAATTCAAGCATTAGCCATTCAAAAGCAATTGATGTATCCGCTTTTTTGGCGGCCAGTGGTTGAACTTTGCAAGACATTGGAATTTAGCTCAGTGTCTATGTTCGTTTCCGTAGAGGGTTTTTAAGTATTTTCGAAAGCATAGTAAGTTAAATTTTTATTTCCATGTAGAGCTACCATTCGCAAATTTTTCAGTCGTGGTTGCAAATTCTAGTTTTGTGTCTGTTTGATTTTTAAAAACAATAGTCAATTTCTGTTTCAGTTTTCGCAAGCCTAGGTTAGATTTGAGTGGTGCAGCCGAATGGTTGAAAGTTCTTACGTTCGTTCGAGGAAAAACCTTCCAAGGGCTTTGCGAATACTTAGCGCAATTTGGCCTGCGTGTTATTCAGGTATTAAATAACATTGAGTATCCAATACGCACTACTTTGGCGAGAGAACTTCTGCATACCACTTTCGAGGAATCCGTCTGATCCTGTTTGTAGCACTACTGGAAACGTTGTTACCGAAAACAGAGCAACAATTACTGAAGATCGCGCGAACATGCAAAATATTCTGCTTGAAAAATGGAAAATTTTCAATGAAAGACTCATCTTGATTTTCTCCAGAACACTGAAAAATCCAGTGAAATACAGAATGTTTAATCGTTCAAGTTTTCGAATGTTTTTGACGAACTTTTGAAGGCTATTTTCGAAAGACTGTTGTATTACTTTTGGGCATAGTACAGAAGTAGAACTGAATTAACTCCTCAGTGAACTTTTGCCTCATTCAAATTAAAGAGAGGAACTTAAAAAAGGGCTGGAAAAGCTTTTAATAACACTTGCGAGAGCAAGTGTTTTATAATTTGATGACTTAAGTTTGATTATAACTGAAATTAAAAGCGAATGCAAGTTACTTAATATCAACAAATTTTGTGCTAGAATACAGATTGAGTCGAATGTACAAGACTTTATATAGTTTCAATAATAGATGAGGTGGTTCATAACTGATAATGCAGGAGAACAGCGAAAACTAATAACACTTTTTTCTTAAAATTATTTGCTCTATTAAGAAAAATATCAGAGCTGCCAATTTTTTTAATAGCTGCAGGAATCTGCAGCAAGATGTATAATGGAACATGTGAAACCTAGGGACACTAGATTAAGTTTCAACTGGAAGGGTGACATTTTTTTTGTTATCTCAGTAATCAAAAGAAAAGAGGAAGGGGTGGACATAATTGTGCGCAAAAAATACTGAATCTTAGGTAGTGCAAAACGTTAATGAAAATATCCTTCAAATGAACCTTGATTGTAAACTGCAACAGCAAAATTCCTGTGTTTACATTCAACAAGAGCAGTCAATAATTAGTACATTACCAAAATAAAAACCCTCCGTGATAGACTAGTTCTCCCAGGGTTTAATCAAATCATTAATATGCGTAGCTCAAAAAACGGAGTTAAGTGAGTAGCTATTTGTTTGGGCTTCAAATTTACTGTATGCTCGCCAAACAGCCAATAAAGGCGACTACGAAGACAATAACATGTCTTGATTTAATGTTTTCTACGCACAAGGGTAGTGTAAGTGAAAAGAAAACGTCGGTTTCAATTCAATTTTTGTTTGTATCTTTTGAAATGCCAAAGAAAATTTCAACAAATACTTTGTTAAGCGAGAAAGTGATTCATATTCAACAAAAGGGGCATAATGGAGCAATAAAAAAAACATTTCAGATAGTGAGTCAATACATCGAAACTAGTGTTTTTGGTTTACGAAAAGCTTTCGAGACTGTTGGTCTCAAGCTCTTAAACAAGTGTTTTGATTACGAAATGAGAGATTCAGCATATAATGTTTCAGTTGTAAACATATCAGATTGTAAACAGTATGCTTACATGAATAAAGACAAAATGCACTAAAACAAATTGAATTATGGAGTCTCATAAGGCTCCTTTCCTGTATATAAGGATGTATTTCAAATGAATGAAGTCAAGAAAGGCTATCTCCGATGTTACTGCTTCATAAATAAAGAGTTCAAAATTAAAAATAAATGAAAAACATTAAAAGTTTTCAATCAAAATATACAATGATAATATCGTGCAAAATCCTCATTTTAATTTTTTGTAATTGAATCTTGATCAAAAATACAACTTCGCCGTTATATAGATTGTGTGGTCAAATATGAATTGCATATAATAAACAAGGATAACCGATTACTGCGCAACTAGCACAGAATGTTCCGACCACAGTCTTAAAAAACACAAATTTTTTTGAAAGTTAGTTTCGTTTTTTTTCTGCGGGTGTGATAAAATATCTGAGTAAAAAACAGGAGAGATTAGATTCCTTAAATTAAAATTGGCGAAAAAAGAAGTTATTGTACGCCTGCTTGCTTGCAATACTCGCTGGGTATAAGACGAAAAATTTCAAACTGGTTTTTCTTAAAATGTGTTGTGCTAATATCGTTAGAATCACAAATGACAGGGCCTTAATTTGCTAAATCATTCAACTCACTCAGATGATTATTTGCATAGAAAACAATTGTATTCGATTGCGTTTTAGTTGTTTTTCTTTTTTATTGTTTTCTATGCACAATCAGATACCAAGTTGCTCCTCATTTTTCAAATGATCGGAACAGGAACAAGAACAAGTCAACCAGTTTTGTCAAACATTCCTAAAAACAGTAATTTCTATATAATGTTCAAGTATAGGAGTCGATATCTATATGAAATCTAGATAAAATTGGCCACAACATAACCCGAATAAAAAATTTGAAAATGTAACCCATATGAAAATATATCATGCAAGAGCTCCTTTTTTACGAAATTGTTTGTATCGTTTTTCATCTGCGCGTAAAAATCGGAGATTATCATCAAAAAATCACATCTAGTGAAATATTCAGAGAACTAAATAATCAGAAAAAAGTCGAACAAATAATGATGATATATAAAAAACACCACGAACTTTCCAATTGTCTCAAAAAAATCATTAAACTGTCTCGAAATTTTTTATTCAAAATGTTTTTGCAATATTCATCTAAATCGTCCAGAAGCAACATCGTCTATAAATTTCTACGAAACAATTCTAGGACCACAGTAAGAAGAAATATTGAGCCAATTGAATTGGTTTTCTTTTTAGACTGTTCAGTTTTCACCATTAATTTCTATTTTCAGTGAATTTTTACCCATTTTTAACAAAATAACCTCACCTCAACGGTTTCCATATTTTCGCTCTGTGACTCAATTGTTACCGGCGTCCAGGGGCGGATCTAAGATTTTCTCAAGGAGGGGGGCAGATTTTTAAAAAATTTTGAAAATTTTTGTCGAACTTTTTTTAGGTCGATCAAATTGATGTTTTGAGCTAATTTTTACTCGTTTAAGCACTTTTTGGAAAACGTTTACCAAAAAATCGCATTTTTTTGTCGCGCGCTCCCCACTCGAAATTAGTAGAGATTCGCGCCGAAGCCTGCTTTAGAAAAATTTTAGGGTCCTTCACCAAAAATTTATATCTCAAAACAGTACAAAGGGGGACCCTTTGGGTTGTCAGGGGGTAAAATTCCTAAGAAGGGGGGCAACCCCCCCCCATCTACCCCTGCCAGCGTCGCTAAACCCTTTTACAGTTTGAAATATACATGTTTTTGACTTTGCGCTCTCAGACGTATGAGAAAAAGACATATTTTGGCTATTGGCGCACTATTATTCTGAGTTAATATATTTTTTTTTGAAAAAACGACTTATTAATGAACTGGGACCTTCAACTGCAACAAGGTTCTTATGATTCAACTGATTTCATTATTAATTAGAAAGTTGTTTCGATGCAAAGCTAGGCTTCTTTCATTAATAATTAGAAAGTGTTTTCGATGCAAAGCTAGCTTCTTTTTTTTCATTGAAAGCTTCTGAAATTCAGATTTTCCTTGGTTATAATTTTTCGAAGATGAGTCTGTATGTTTCATGCGGGGAGAGCAGAGTGCTCAACTCTGCGTATAAATCTACTAGAAAATTACGACTGCACTAAAATTAATCACGCTTATTGTAGGCGTAACTTATGCCCTTTTAGCCTCCTATGATATCAAGCTGGCAACATGTTATTCTTAATTGAGTTTCGCACCGTTTTGTGGTTACCAATCAAGTACACTGAGTATCAAAACTCGAATGGGTATCAATTGTTTCTCATTTTCTATGAGGTACTCGACCGGGGTTCTTCTATACTTTTGTACAGATTTTAACTATTTCAAATAAGATTAAAAATATGAAGATCGAGTAATCGCATTTCACTGAATTCAAAATTCAACAGTTATCTGCAGGAGTTTTGACTTTGGTTTTACCACCACAATCAATTGTCAGCATGTCAAAATGATATATGACTTCTCTTCAGCTCAGCTTCTGTGGAAACAATTGCCGAAAATATCTTGTTTTTCTTGAAAACAATTTTGAGTTAAAAGTATTTATATTGTTGCGGATGCCTACATTTTGTTCTGCGCAGAGTGAACATTACTATCGAGCTGAAAAACATTTCGGAAAGTGTTGAAATGTATTAAGAATAAATACTTATGCTAGAGTTTCTACAGATTTTGTAGAACTGATTTCAGCACAATTATTCTATCAAACCCATCCTTTTTTGCCCCTTTTAAACTTTTGTGGAAATGAAACTTTTTTTTTGTGGGATTTCTCGCCGCATTTTTTGCAATTCAATTAATGAGTGTTAATTATTGCAGCTAAAATGTGTTGTGCAGATGTATTCCAGGAGAAACTTTTATAGGTTCCACGATTGATCAAGTTTTTATTATTTATGAAGTTGAAATCTGAAGACACTGGGGTTTTGTTTTTTGCTTCAGTGATATTAGGTGCCTTTTCTGTTTGCAATTTCGGTGAAACACTTGATGCCTCCTTTCTGCAAGTTGCCAAATGTAAGCTAATTGTGTTATTTTTGAATTTTTACTCCTTTTTTTTATAAAAAATTGTCCTGTTTTTTTTTTACAGATTGTGTTATCCCCTGTTTAACGATTTTTACTTTATTGTGTTAGTGTAAAATTTCAGTCTTTTTTGAAGTGCAATGTTGTGAAAAAATTTACAACGATTTCTATCGCTGGGTGATATATTTTTAACGGACGTTTTACATGATACTTGTTGAAGTGTTTCCTATGTTGATATGTTAAAGTGCCAATATCTTGCAACTTTTCAGTTTTCTTACTGAATTCAAAGTTTAAAATATTTCTATATGAGTGTTCAAGTAAGTCATTTTATCCATTTGATCTATTGATTACAGTTTCCAAGGTCTTTATAAAATTGCGTTATACATCTGCTGCAGCGCGATTGCTTTTATATGTTTTTTTTTTGTTTATTCGCAACGCAAATAAATTTTTTCGTTTCAGTGTTTGTTTCACAATATTTGAATCAGAAACCGTTGGATTGAGAATTCATTTTTAGAAATCATTTCAAATCTAAATGAAAATCTTTTAAAAAACTAAATTTCATTAAGCTTGATTTTCTCGATACTACTGTGGGGTGCTGTCAAGGCAGTCTCAGGAGTTCTTAATCTCGCCTCAAAACATGACTGCTGAAATCCTTTAAATTTTAGATTAAATAACTTCACAAAAATTAAAATTCTTAACGCTATGGTGGCTGCTATCAGGATGTTTTCAGGAGTTGCAAATCTTGCCTCTAAAAATGACTGCTTGAAGTTGTTTCGCTTTCGAGATCAGACGTTTTTTATATCATAAAAAATTCAAAAAAAAAACTTGGTTTAAAAATATTTCTCGAACTTGAAAGTCCAGCCTTATGGTGTCGTCCTAGACATTTCACACCTCGCCTCTCATTTAGTCTGCACCAAACGTTTTAGCTTTTGAAACAATTGATGTAAGCAAATGATTTACGTGAAAGCTAATGAAATTAAGCAATTAAATTAAACAAGAATCTTATTCGAAAAGTAAATGATTTCATTTAAAAATACATTTTTTGATTTTTCATATGGAACATGAAGTGGTATGTTGTCGGTCATTTTTTCGAATCTTTTCTGATTAAAAAAACAAAAATTTGAAAACCGGGGTTATGGAGATTCAGCTAGTTAGTTAGTTACTGACTATTTGAAAAATGTGAAAGAACTTTGTATTCGGGATTGTTTTAATTTTTGTTTCTTTTTGTTTTCCACCCACAATCAGGTACCACAAATAGGTGGAATGGGTTGAATTATGTGTAATATTTCAGCCCTTTGAATTGACTCGAACGATATTAAAGTTTTTGAAAAAGTTTTTTTAAAACGACATTAAAACTTTTGAAAAGTTTCTGGTCTGTTTTCGAGCTAATGAGTTTGCAAAATCAAGTTTGCAGGCTACAATAGCTTATTTAAGCCTAATTTAAGGCGTGGAAACTTAGTTTCACTTGAGAAAAAGTAGTATTGAAATTTTTTAACGCCATTTTGTAATCAAAAACTTCAAAATATCAAAACTATTCAGAAAACCTATTTGACTACGGCTGTTGAATATAGTCAACTTCTATGGTTCCGCTTAGATCTTACGATGACACCACACACTAAAAACACAAAAAAGTACAATCTTTTTTGTTTCAAATTGGTGTCGTTTTTTAAAAATTTTGGTCGGAACATTTTGTGATATTTGCCCAGTAAACGGCTGCCCTTGTTATTAATAGATATTAATAGATATTGGCCTAAAATAGAATCTTAAAGTTGATTTTTTTCAATCAATAAATTGTGAAGTAGAAGCTTTGATGGATGCTCCACTAACGTTGTTCGGTTGCATCAATTTTCATTATTTTTTGTAAAAAAAAGCTTGTTTAAAAGCAATTTCGACGCTCAACAATTTGTTTGAAGCATTAGAAGTGCAAGTTACCCACTAGTTTTTTTCGAAAGTAGACAAATGTTCAACATTTTCGGTCATTTTAATTTTTTTCAGTTTCCTTAATTTTTAATACTCTTCCATCTATCTGTTGGCTGGCTGATCTAAAATTAATTGAATTAACAGCCTAATCCAGGGGCGGATCTAGGAAATTCTCGAGGGGGGGGGCGGATTTTCAAAAAGATTTTTAGATCGACCGAAATGATTTTTCGAGCTCTCCCTAAGCACTTTTAGTCCCTATTTTGGCCAAATTTTCTGCGCCGCAAAAACAGTCCAGAAAATTTTGACCAAAAAATCGCATTTTTTCGGCGCGCGCTCCCCCCTCAAAATTAGTATATATATTGGCGCCAAAGACGCCTTTAGAAAAATTTTATGGTCGGTCGGCCAAAAATGGATTTCTTAAAAAGTACCAAAGGGGGGGGGCGTTTTAGAAGTCGTTCGTTGAAATTTTTTGATTGTTTGCGTAGTGCAGCTTTGCCTGTGTAAGTATGTATTCAATGTCAATTCAATCAATACATGCCTGTAACTTCTGTGTGTTTAAAGTGGAAATTCTTTTTAATCTCAACATGCTCATTTTTCGGAACGGCATAGCAAAAATACTATTTTCGATACATTGGCTCAACTGGATAAATTTAGAATATTTTGATAATTTTTATACCAAGAGAGACACGGGCGGATTTAGGGGGGGGGGGGAGCCTTCCTCTCAGGGATTTGACCCCCTGCCGACCCAAAGGGTCCCCCCTTTGGTACTTTTTAAGAAATTCATTTTTGGCCGACCGACCCTAAAATTTTTCTAAACGCGCCCTTGGCGCCAATATATACTAACTTTGAGGGGGAGAGCGCGCCAAAAAAAACGTGATTTTCTTGTCAGCATTTTCCAAAAAAATGCCCAAAACCGCGTCTTTTTAGTGCTTTAGGAGAGCTCGGAAAATCAATTTGGTCGACCTAAAAAACCACTGAAGAGAGAAGTTTTGATAAAGTAGGACTATCCAGAATGAACTATTTACTTTTTTGAAGGAAAGGCTTTCAAGTTTTTCCTTTTTCTCAAAAAATAAACAAATTCACGGTCGGGACAACTTATTTCATCGTTAAGACACATTTTTTGAGGAATTTTTTAAAATTACGTTTTTCGAAGTGTTGAATTTACAAGTGAAAATTACATAACAAATTGAATTTGATGCATTGCACACATTATCTAAGAAGTAATTTAAAGTAAAAAGAAACGTAATATTTATAAAAGCATCTAATCAAATGTGATGATCATACATGAATTCAAATTTAAGTCTACGTAGTTTTTGTCAATTCTCATTCAAATAACTTCTCAATTCCAGCAGCTTGGTAGCGTAGCCACTCTTAAATTTTAGCGCAAGTGGAAATTCCTTTTCCTTGAGCTGCGTATAAAATATTCTAACTTCCTCGTGAAATAAAAGCGAATCCCATTTCTTTTATCAAAATCGTGAAGCAATTAGGCTTCGGTGGGAACAATTTAGCTTCTAGTGTCATGAAGATGGTGAATTCGTTTCCTTTTTTGTCGAATTTTCAGCTGACATTTTTGAATCTGATGACTTTTTATTTATTTCTTCAACCGCTCCCAACTCATTTTTTTCACTCTGATTCTTTTTTTCTTCCGCTGCTTTTTTCTGTTCAGCTTCTGAAAAACAAATAAATCTGTTGCCAATAGAAATATCGATGCACAAGCGTTGTCAAAGTCTCATGAATTAATATGAGCTCTAAAACAAACAAGCAAAAAACAAACCATTTTTTATAGGTCAAACCAAAGGTCAAACATCAGATCTTTGACTACTTTATCCCAAAAACACGCATTCAAATTATACTTTCGCTTGCCTGACCTTTCAAAAACATTTTTACTGATAATCTTGATAATATGACTTCTGGTTTCTTAAAACTAAGTGTGTTGAGAGGTCTTCCAGGAGCGTTAGAGGCCACAAACAAAAAAAAAACTATTTGAAAAATTCTTAAACGTCAGCGATTTACCGAAAAAATTAAATGTACTGACGGATATGACTCTTTATGTCTTGCTTCTTAGGGGTGGCCAGGGGCGGATCTAGGGTTTTCTCGAGGGGGGGAGCGGATTTTCAAAAAATTCGAAAATTTTGTCGACCTTTTTTTTAGGTCGACCAAATTGATTTTCCCAGATCTCCCAAAGCGTTAAAAATACCCTGTTTTGGACGAAACTTCTGCGCCGTCGGCAAAATTTAGAAAAAAACAGGCCAAAAAACGCACATTTTGGAAAATTTTGACAGGAAAATCAAGTTTTTTCGGCGCGCGCTCCCCCCTAAAAATTAGTATTTTTTGCGCCCAAGGCTCCTTTAGAAAAATTGTTGGGTCCGTCAACCAAAAATGGATATCCCAAAATAGTACAAAGGGGGGACTCTTTGGGTTGGCAGAAGGTCAAATCCGTGAGAAAAAGCGGCGTCCATACACTCCCCCTCCCTAAATCCGCCCCTGGGGGTGGGGGCAGTGCCAAAATGAATGAAGTCCAAAAAATTGAGGCATAGGGTGCATTGTACCTTAGTTGTAAAAGTTTTTCATGTAATCACAATTCTTCAAGCTCTAAAATGTAAATTAGTTTTCAATTGTCACAATTGGCAAACTTAAATAATTTAAAATCAGAGTGAGATATTTTTTCGAAGAGAATTTTTTGCTCCGTCTGTCGAAGAAAGTGACAGAATATTTGTGCTCGGATGGATTTTTTCTCTAGACAAATTTCAATTTTTTGATCAGCCATTTTCGACGGGTTTTTCGACGGGAATCAAATTTTGAAAATTATTTAGTTATAGACTTTGAAAAGATTAACCTTTAATGCATCTTTTGGACAACCTGGGTTCTTTCATAGTTTGAAAACATTGATACTAATTAGTACTATATACAGTGCTGATTTAAATTAACCGGATAAAACGCAATAAAATTGAAATTTAAAACGCGTTTTTCCCAAATTGGGTTCAGTTTAAGTGAAAACTTATGAAGTCAAGAGTTACTTAAAATTTTTGCAGAATTAATATGATGTAATTTGTTTTGCAAAATACGGGCCCAAAATTTTACCCCAAAAATGGGTCATTTTGGCTTTTCTTAGTTGATCAAAAATTACGCCAAAACTATCTAGTCGATCACAGACATAATTATATCAAAGAGAGCGCCTTACGTAGCCCAACAAATTTCAACAAGGATATATTCTCCAAAACATTGTATAATTTTTTTGTTTGATAGACAAAAAAGGTCGTTTTTACTATAGATAAAATACCAACTTTTTATTTAAAAACAAAACAATTTTTAAACGGTTTGCAAATTTGTTTTGGAGAATATACCTTTGTTAAAGTTTGTTGGCTACGTAAGGCGCTTTCTTTGATATAATTATGTCTGTGATCGAATCGACTGGGTTTTTTTGGCGTAATTACTGATTAACTAAGAAAAGCCAAAATGACCCATTTTTGGGGTAAAATTTTGGGCCCGAACTTTGCAAAACAAATTACATCATATGAATTCTGCAAAAATTTTAAGCAACTCTTGTGTTCATAAATTTTCACCTAAACTGAACCCAATTTGAGAAAAACGCGTTTTAAATTTCAAGTTTAACGCGTTTTGTCCGGTTAATTTAAATCAGCACTGTAGCATTCATTAACTTTGTGAATGTTAGCTGACCTTCGACTGACTTCTGCTTCCAGGAGTCTCTGTTTGCTGCAATGAGGGAATCCCAGGGCCTGATGATGGCGAACGAGGCAGCCAAGTTTTCCACTTCACCGGAAGAAGCATTGTTGTTGTTGTTTCGGTCGCCTCTATTCGTAGGCATGTCGCTTCCCGACTGTTTCCGGCGTACCTGTTTTTGAAAAAATTGGTTGTTAACTGAAATATTTTTAAAAGTATTTTATGTTTTCAAAACCAAAAAATTGCATATTTTAAGGTATTGCGGCGAATTGAGAAATAAGAATCAGGAAAAAATGTACTTGAAATGAAAAAAAAAACATGTAAATCAACTAATTCGTGTATTTACAGTTTTTTTTACCAGCAAAAAAGCACATTTTTAGATATTGAGAACAAAAGACCGCAGTTATAGTTCGGGTAGACGTGAAAACCGCAGTTTTGTTTCGGGTGATTTTAAGGCCGCTGTTTTTTTGGCTATTTTTTGAAGACCATAAATTTATTTCTGGTTTTTGAAGACCATTTCCGTTTCTTTGTGTATTTTTTTTAGACCTCAGTTTTGTTTCAGGTTATTTTGAAAACCTCATTTTTGTTTCGGCTAGTTTTGGAAGAGTGTTGTTTTGTTTCGGATAGTTTTTGAAGACCACAGTTTTGGTTTGGGGTTTTTTTTTAACGACCGCAGTTTTTTTTCGGGTAGTTTTTTAAGACCACAGTTTTGGTTTGGGTAGTTTTTAAAGACCTCATTTTTTCAGCTCTTGTAGTTTTTGAAGGGTAGTTTTTGAGCACTGCATTTTTGTTTCAGATAGCTTTTTTCAGACCGAAGCTTTGTTTCGGGTAGTTTTTGAAAGCCGCAGGTTTCTTTAGAGTAGTTTTTTCAGACTGCAAATTTGCTTAGGGCAGTTTTTTTGGGTAATTTTTGAAGACGACAGTTTCCTTTCGGATTAATTTTGTATACCGCACTTTTGTTTCAGATAGTTTTTTCAGTGCGAAGCTTTGTTTCGCGTAGTTTTTGAAGGCTGCAGTTGTGGTTGGGGTAGTTTTGGAGGTCTTTGATGTTTAAAAGCGCTTGTTTCGCTCTGAAATTCTACATCTGTCGAATTGAGATGACTCATGGCTAGCAAAAATTTCAGATAATTTTTTGTCCAGACAATTTTCCAATTTGAATTCAAGCACTTGTTACTATTATTGAACAGCATCGGAGCTTGTAAATTGAGACCCAAATTTGTTTCCAGTATTCAAAAAGCTTCAATCTGGTCTATTTTTGGTGATTAATAACTCGGAAAGTATCTTCTGTTTGAAATATAGGTGTAAAATAAATATGTGACAAATGAAATATTTAAATTGCGTGATTTTGCTTGTTTTTTGTTAGTTCGCCTTATATTTGATCGTCAAATGAAAGTCATATTTGCGCTCAGGTTGAAAAACATTAAAAAAGCAAACATTGGTGCAAAAAAAACTTGAAAAACTCTTTTTCAAGGACGCGTTTTAAGTTTAGAATTTTTAGTGGAATAAAACAAAAAATCTATCGACCCGGTTTTTTTTTAACTTTTAAAAAATGTACTAACAAAATAATTCTGGAGGTTCAAATACCTTAAACGTGATATACTTATTTCTTCGAAAACTGAGTGTTTTGACACTTGAGTCCATTGACACTATTGCATCTGTTTGTTTATTTATACGTACTTAAGAAACAAACATAGCCATCAGACATTTAGAAAATAGTCAATGAACACAATAAAATAGAAAAAAAACTGACTCAAATTTTTTTGTAAAAAAGCCGAACATGAAAGTAAACAAATTATATGACCTTAATGGTATTTAAATTTACAGAGCATTTTATATCGGCCACTTTTTGGATGAAATTATTTCAATTTGGGAAATTGGATCAAAAGGTAAAATTTTCCCCCTAGGAAACCAGAAAATTAAATTCCACTTTCGAAACTACAAGTTGATCATGTTTTTCAAGACCTATACACTTTTGCTGTTCGATAGTCGAAATTTCCTTCCTTTTAACCAGCGAAATGAAATAAATTATAAAAAATCGGAATCAAACCGAAAAAATCAAATTCCAGTGTGAACAAATATTCAGACTTTTTTTCTGAAAACTATCATCAAGACCTTTATATGAGTCTTTGCTACGTTCATCGACTCTTAAAACATAAAGTTAATTTTACCTAGTTAGTTAGCACAAAAAATCAACAGTTTTTTCTTCGATATCCAAATTTTTTGTACTGGGAAAACCTACAAACTCAATAATTTGAAATCAATAATCTGAACTCAGTTTTTACAATGTAAGCCAAAAACACTTTATATGATACAATTAGGACGCAAGCTTTTCAATTTTTTAATTGCTATTTTGTAATTGCTTTGGATTTTTAGAATTTAAGAACTTTTTCTTATGAAATCTATGCTAGTGAAAGCCGTTATTTTCAGTAAAAATTGGCGAAGTTGCCTGAAATCATCAAACGAATGAAAACGTTCAAAAAATGATATAGATAGGACTTAAACTTTTTCAATTTTTTAGTTGCTCCTATTTGGATTTTTGAAATTCAGAACTTTTTTCTGTGAAATCTATGCTGTTGAAAGCCGCTGTTTCTAGTAAATATTGGCAAAATTGCTTAAAATTATCAAAAAAATGGAAAATTTTCAAATATTAATACAGATAGGATGTAAAAATTTCAATCTTTTAATTGCTTTTTTTAGATTATTGAAATTTAAGAACTTTTTCTTATGAAATCTATGCTACTGAAAGCCGTTATTTTCGGTAAAAATTGGCAAAATTGCTAAAAATTATCAACAAAAAAAATTGAAGATTTTCAATTCTTGAAAAAAAAAAAATTAATCAAAATTGAATTGTGGTGATTTTTGTAGACAAATTTAGTATTGGTTTTGTTTAAATAGACATCAATGAGTGAATAATAACCTGTTGGTCTCTTTCCTTCTCAGAAATTGGATTGAGGGAGGATGTGGATGTGACCATTTGCTTCTTCTGTTGTGACGACTGTGATGGCCCATTGGCACTTCCCTGTCTGGACTGTGGGTGGGGCAAGTCGATAGGGGCAACTATTTTGTCCATCATGTCCCCACACACTTCCATACTAGGGGCCACGATGAAGTTGATGAAGCCTGAACACAAAATGCGGATCAAGTTAACATGAAATCGGAACCGGAACATAGACTTTTTTCAGATTAACAACTTGTCTAACAGAATCACTGAGTCATCTGATAGTTTGATTGATGATCGAACGAAATTCTGCGTCTTATTCTGCACATAAAATAAGGCGCAGAGGAAACTTCCATGCCTGGCTTGGGACGAGAAACGTCCAGGGTTTAATTCCGGCCGGGACTTGATATGTTTTTTGGCAAACGAAAAAATTGCTTTAAAAAAATGATAATAGTTTGTCTGCCTATTTTTGGTCCTTCTGATGTGTAAACTTCTCAACTGAACCGCAGTTTAAGAAAAATGTCATATATTACTTTGCAGTATCTAATTTGCGGATGTTAAAAAATTACCGGGGTTTTTTGGAACCAAAAAGGCGGCGCTTCTCATTACGGATAATCAAAATAGTTATGGAAGTACCGCAACTCCAGATCAATTCTGATTAATATCACGCCAAAACTGAGCATAAATTCTTTTCGAACTCCAATATTAGAAGGAAGTTTTAGTAATTTAATGTAGACTATATTTTGTTTGCGTTGAAAATATTGTGGTTTTATTTGAAGCTCAATGAAACTGCATATTTTTCTTTAACATTGGGTTAAATTCCGGTGGGGATCCTCCCTTCCCCCTTTCCCCCATGTTCAGAGCGGTCGATGTTCCAGGCAGAGTCTTGGGGTCTGTAAAGAAGTCAATTTGTGTTTCGGGGGGGGGGATGTCCCGACAATTAAGAAGTGCCGATTAAGTGCAGTTAAATTCATTTCTAGTGATAGTTGCAGTTCGCGAATTGGACTTTTTCTGCCTTGTGAATAAAGAATATAGTTCATTCTTATAACGCCTTACCAATTTGGGAGTCGGGTATGACTAGTGTGTGTCGGTCGCAGAGTGGCGAGTAGGGCAGTCCCAACTCCGCCTCCCTGTCCCCCTGCTGGAAGAACTCCTCTATCACCAACATGGTCCACTTGTAATGCACATCCCACTCTTTGGCCGGGTGGGAGATGTCGGCTGTGTGTAGCACCAGTCCCAGTGCTTTCGTCTTCTCAACCGGCTCCGGCTGACTAATCGACGTTTTCATGGCCTGAAACACTTTTTATGTTTTTTTTTTCATGGCCTAGAACGTTTTTTATTTCTATTTTTTTTAGCCCCCGGACCATCCGTGGGCAAACGGAATATCAAACGTTTTGCCGCAGCCCGTCCCACCTTGAGAAGGCAGATGACACTGGGACCCCTCCAACCGTGACCGAAGGGGTTAAATAACAGTAAGAAAACTACTTGGGAAACAGACTGGCCTATGAGCAGAAAAATTCATCGACGTATTCTAAGCAACCAAGTTTAGCAATGAAATCACTCCCTATTACATACTTCCAGAACAGTTTTAAGCTAATTGGCTTTTTAAATGAAAATATCCAAAAAGTATGTCAATCCGCATTAAAGTATGCTCAAAAAGGGTCTAGGACAAGCCGACGGGACTTCAAGCCGAAGGGACTTCAAGCCGATTTTAAAACTTTACAGGCACCTCAAAACACTATTTTATCATCTGTAAAACGTTGCCCGCGCTGACAAAAATGGTTTCCGGTCAATTTAATTTGATTTTAATCGATCCAAATTGATTAACCATGTACATTTTACGAACTTAAATGGATTTTAAATGGATTTTAAATCGATCTTTTTGAAAATTTTTAAGTCAATTTAAGTGTCTAAAAAATTAATTTAAATCGATTCGGATCAGTTTCATTGTAGGTCATATTTAAGATGCATTGGAATCAATTTAAAATCGACTGGAATTGGTTTTTTTAGCGTTGAAATAAATCGATTTAAATCGATTTAAAATCGATCCAAATCGATCTGAATTTTTCTTTTTGATTAACTTACTTTTTTACCATTTAAATCGATTTCAACTTAATCTGCATACTTTTTCATACTAAAATCGATCTAAATCCATTTTTGTCAGTGCGGGTACTTTTCAAAATTTTTGGCAAATTTAGTCCATAATAAGCGTTATTCATGACAATGCACCATTTGTGATTGGCATCCGTTTATAACATCAGCCGGTTTTTGAAATGCATAAACTATTCACAAGAAAAATGCCTTCAGCCATGTTTTACTTTTCAACTTTCCGAAACATCCTTTGGAGGCTTAAATTTTATGAAAACGCCAATAACTAGGGAAGAAAGATCATAAAATTCAAAAATTCTTCAAAAAAGTTTTCAAATTAATCAGATTTCACGACTTTATAAGGAACTATTCGACTTGAAGTCCCTAATTTTACGATTTGGCTTGATGTCCCGTCGGCTTGATGTCCGACACCTGCTCAAAAATACTTTTAAACCAATTTTCGGCCTGAATATTGCAAAATCACACTTCGTGATTGTTTTTCAGCCAATCAGAATTGAATATTGGCAAAATTTTTTGCTTGCTGACCGCACTCAATCACTCGTATAGAAGAATTTTGAAAGATTGAATACATTTACTTTAAAGGAGGATTTTTCATTAGACTCGCTAATCGACTAATCGCGAGTGTATACGTGCAGGGGCGGGTTTAGGAGGGAAGGACGCCTCCACTTAGGGATTCGACCCCCTGCCGACCCAAAGGGTCCCCCCTCTGTACTATTTTGAGACATCCATTTTTGGTTATGGACCCTAAAAATTTTCTAACGGCGCTTTCGGCGCCAATATATACTAACTTTGAGATGGGAGCGCGCGCCGAAAAAACGCAATTTTTTGGTAAAAGTTTTCCAAAAAGTGACTAAAAACGCCTTTTTGGCCTGTTTTTTCAAAATTTTGCCTGCGGCGCAGAAATTTCAGAAATTTTACAATATAGATTTGGTCCATCTAAAAAAAGAAGGTTGACAAAAATCCGGCCCCCCCCCCTCGAGAAAATCCTAGATCCGCCCCTGTATACGTGTATATTTGACTTAAAAATTGAGTCTCTTGCTTCAATCGTATTTAAAGTATAGATTGTAATGCTAAAACAGTATTTTTTTGCTAAAAAATGAACTATACTTAACCATGTCTGTAAGTTTTCAAGACCATAATTATAATTTAAATTGGTTGTTAAAAAAAAGAAAATCATTTCACAATTTGCTTTTCATTCGTATTAAAAAACGAAGCGCCATTTACAAGTATTCTTTAACTTGTCAGTCATTAGATAAAAAAGACAGGTGATTTTCCATAAGCAGAAGGCAAGTTATTCAGCCTCCAAGTTCGATTCAGTTTGAAGTGCATTCCGGATGATTTTATCTTGTAGAATTCCAAGCAGAAATCTTTTAATGTTTCCAAAATTGCTGCCGCAGGCCGGGAGAAAAAAATTGACGTTAGATCTGTCAAATAGATAATAGGAAGCCTTCAAATATAGGAACAGAATGGCATTAAACACCGGCAGAGTTCATCTAAAAACAAGTGAACGAACAGTAGAAGCGATTGATTGACATGTTGGTTTTTCTATAGTAATTGGTTGGTCGGGGTCAACCTTGCTCAGCAATTTGTTTTCCTTCTAAATCTGATCCGTAATGCTAAGAAGGATAATTTAGTCTTTGTATTTGATATTGTCTTTGTATTTGATTTTTTTTTTCGGTTAAGTTGACTTTTTTCTGCTAAGTTGTTAATGATAAGCCGACCGTTTGTATCCCAGTCATGGACATTTATATGCTCACCATAATAATCATCGGCGGAGATAATTTTAGCCCGGTCTTCGTTTTCTTGCGCGTCAATAAAGTTAACCCTATTGGCGAATATCTTTGGTCAGGTGTTCATTACCACCTCATTTTTTCAGCGCATGATCAATGATTCGATCGTTCCTGGCAATTTTCCTGAATAATTCAGTAAATTCCCCCTTCCCTGAGAAATGACTTGCTCACCCTAGCCGTCAAAAAAAAACATTTCATGACATCTATTCTCGACCAACCAATTCTAAAACTTTTCAACTTAGGATAAAAACTGCTCTTAATGTGATTTTAGCGTAATTTTTTTTCGACTTGATGCTAATCGGTTCAATTTTTTTTTGGTTCGGATGCCGACTTGGTTTCATCGAATTATAACGTAATTCTTCTCAACACCTTTTTGTTGAGCCTAATGGCTAATCGACGCACATTTTGAAAATTGGTGCAAAACAAAAATATTTTCAAGACTTTTTGAATGATTTTTCGTGGTTTTTGGCTGTTTGTTCATCAATTGAAATTTTATACCAAGTACTATCAGTTTTGGGCTTGTTTTTGTCGAACTAGCAAGCAGAAAGCATTTCACAACGAAAGCGTTGCATTTGAAAAGCTTTTAAATTGTGACCTTAGAAAAATAGAAGGGAATGATTTCCATATGGCTAAATTTGGTCTCTCTCGATCTTATTTTTCTGTTTTTTACGAAAATTGTTTTCAAAATGAAGATTATTTCCATTATAGTGTTTTGTTTTTCATTATGCTCAGTTAATTTTTAACTTTCGTTCAACCAGCGAAAGAGAAAACTGGCACGAAATTCCCATTTTGCAGACTAAAAGCTGGCGGAGAAAATTTTTTCAATTATGAAAAATGCCTGCTTGCCTAGTTATTGCAACTTTATCTCGACAACCTGGTCTGGTTTGTATCAGAGCAAAATAGAACACATATTATTAATCGAAAGCACGCTCAGTACAAGTGATTTAAACTGACAATTTGAAAAAAAAAATTTTTTTTCAGATCAATTTAAAAAAGTTTGCGTTCTCGTTCTAGAATCATTTTGTATTCATCATACTCTTAACTTCTGTTATTTTTTTGTTGCAAGACAGAATTTTTAGGATGGTTATATTGCAAGATTGCCTCCCTAAGATTCTTGCAAGATAGCCTCCTTCTTCCAAGATTCTTACAAGATAACCTCCATCTTGCAAGTTCTTGCAAGATAATCTCCATCTTGTAAGATAGCCCTCATTTGCAAAAATCTTGCAAGATCTAACAAGATAACCTGCCTTGATCGACTGGGGTCCTCCCTAAACGCAGAAAAAAACACAGTTTTGGCTAAAACAAATGTTTTTTTTTTATTCTGGTGTCTGACCATTCTGTGTTACTTGCACACAAACCGGCTATCTTTTTTTGCTAATAATTCAACGCCACAGAGTTAGAAGAGAGTAAAAAAGCCAGCCGAAGTCTATTCAAGCAAAAATGCGCGGAGTATATCAGCCAGCCAAAAATTTACATCATATGAATGAATTTGCACAACATTTTCAACTGTTAGATAACTGTTACATAACTATTACAAAACACTTACGTATTTTCGGCTGGTTGATACTTTGGCTGGTTTTCTACCACCAGTTAAGTTAGAATATTCAATAGGTTGCAATTTGAAGTTTACACGAGCTTTCTCCACAAGGTTATCTATCCCATGCTTTTAACTTCACCATATTTTGAGAATATGCTCAAGATGTATGCCAATTTTTCGGTCTTTCTACTTTTTAACAATTTGATTACCCTACGACTCACAAGTGACGCTACTAAAGCTCTGCTTCTTATTTACTTAACTACATTACGGGTTAATTTTTTTCATTTCTACAGACAGGGTAACAGGGTCGTTTTTGTTATTCTACTTAGAATTGCCAAAACGTTAAATGAGTTGTTTCAACATTAGTTTCAGATTTAATTGTGTTGTAATTAAGAACCATTATCTAAATTTCAAAAAAAATAAGGTCTATTTTGAAACGTATAACGGAAAAGAACTGTTATACGGCTCAAATAGGACCTTGTTTTTTTCTGAATTTAGATTATGGTTCTTAATTACTACACAAGTAAATCTAAAACTTATGTTTAAACAACTCATTAAACGTTTTGGCGTAGTATACTTTTCTAGGTATAGTATATAACGAAGAATGAACTTATTTGACCTTGAGCTGCGAGAAGTGGAAACTCATGTCAGTTGCTAGTATCATGTCCACCACCAGTTGTCGGAACTCCATGAAGTCGTCGCGCGAGAGGTTGCCGAGGATGTTGCTCTCTGGGAAGTCCTTCATCACTCGGAACAAGTAGGACACGTGGTGGTTCTCCAGCACCGACTTGTCATTGTACAACAGCGCCAGTGGAGATCTGAACAAGTTTTTACCCGTACTGAAATTTATTTTTAAATTCAAATCTGGACATCGAAAATTCATGCAAATTTCAGATCTGCATCAGTCCTGTGGCATGTCTCTTTTTTCGCTGCACCTATCTGAATCAGACATGTACAGAAATGATAACTATGGAAAAAGTCAGGTATGATCATGTCTGCTTCAGGTCTGGCCCAGGTACTAAACTGAAAAAAAAAATGAAGAAAGAAATATATTAATTTCGGATCTTGTTAACCATCCCCCATATATAGCAAAGGGGGAATTTGGTCTTTTCTAACACAAAATTTCAATACGCTCGGCTATTAAATTATTTGTTTTCAGGGATATAAATTATTTCAGATTGAGTCATGTTTCCACCCATTCGACTCAATCTGGATATGTTTCGGCCGACTTGAATGAAGCAAAATTTTGTTTGATTGCTTCGACCCAAATATGTGCTATGGCTTGGCCAACTCAGCCCAATGTAGCTTCGTTTCGACCGTGTCGACTGTCGACTCAATAAAAACGTGTCTGCTTTTTTTAGATGAAACTAACCCAATTTGAAAAAACTGGATTAATAAGTAAAATTTTTATTTCGCTGGTAAATCTGAAAAATAAATTCCACTTCAAAGATAGAAGTTGATCACGTTTTTTGCCGCCTTTACTTTCTGTTTAACAGTGGAGTTTGCCTAACTTTCAACAAAGGAAATGAACTGAAGTTAACAAGAAAAAAAAAACCACGAAGAATTAATATTGAGCATGAACAAATTTTAAGACTTTTCCTGAAAACAAAATCATCGCAAGCTGTATAAGAGTCTGAACTATATTCATTGACTCTTTTTAAGTTCAAATATACCACTTTGAAGAGGAACTCTTCAGTCTAAAATTGTCCAAAGATGCATAAATTTTACAACCGATGTTTCTCGAGAATTTTTTTTTCAGAAAATTATTTTTTTTTCAATTTCGATTGAACCAAGGATGAAGGAGCTTTCATATTACTTATCACTCGAGAACATCTGCTGTTTAATTTGGAAACATACGTTGACCGGTTTTAAAATATGGAGTTGTATTATAAGAACAAGCAAATTCAACGGAGTTGAGAAAAAAATAGAAAGTTTGCAAAATTGCATTTGTGCTTTTTTAAATTTAAAAAGACAGTTCAAGATTTGTGTTTACGAATGGATTAAAACAATAAGAAAAGTAACTGAACTTGAACATCCTTGCTCCATCATGATTAGCATAATATAAAATGAAGAATTAGATCAATTTCTCTGCCAGAAAACTCGAAACTTGAAAAAAGGCTTACAACAATTGACAAAAATGTTTTCAATTAAGTTTACAGCAACTAATTTAAGAACAAGAATTTGAACACAGGAAGGTTTATGCATTACGGCACTGAAATAGGTTTTGAACCATTTTCTCTTTTTTCAGTAAGCAAATGCGTTACAAGAAAAAAGCGCTCATTTTACTTGACAGTGTCCTCTAAAGTGATATAGCTATAAATACACTTAGAAACAAAATTATCGTTTTGAGTACCTGATTTTGCTAGCCTAAAGTTTAAAAAACAAAAATGAACATTTTATCCACTACAAAATTGCTTCTAACGTTTTGGTCGGAAGAGTTAGTTTAACAGTTTGAGATTGACTTATGAATTATTCAACCGAATTCATTTTTACTGAAACAACCTTTGGTGTTATAATATGAGTTTTTTATCGAACTGAATCACGTTGTCGGCTATGCTTGCTTTTTTAAAACAATTTTAAAGCTCCATTTTGCCGTTTTTACTCCTGTTTTCCAATTGCAGCGTTGTTTCTTTGTAATATTAAGTTTAAGAATTTAAACAAAAATTATTAGTATTTTTCAGAAGCAATTTGAAAGCGTTGTTTCTCTCATTAAAAAAACGTCAACGGCTCACGAATTTTTTTGAACCCATGATAAATTCTGATCCATCGACGGATTTGTAAAAGGAGTCTTTTTGCCGATTCTCCCAAAATCATTGTCAATCTCAAAATATGAAATCAGGGGAAAAAGTTTTCGAATCGAATTAGTTAAATCTAAAAGCGACGTCAAAATTTAGTTCAGACACTTTGTCTTTTGGGTATAATTGCTTAAAAATCAACCCAATAAAAAGGGACTGACTGTGTGTTGATATGGAAGTTGTTGGTGGTGCCAGTGTGTTCGACATCGTGAGAACAGGCCGCAATCAGAACTGCGAATATCTCCAAATCAGTCAACCAGTTCTGAAACAAAAATAGGTTCCCACTTGCCATAAAACTAAGTAACATTTCTATTATTAAGTAAAAACAAATTAAGTAGTATTCCGCTTTATAATGAGGGAAATGAGTACTTTAGGTTACATATTTTACGAAATTAATTATGGCACCAATGTATAATGACACAAGCGATTTTGCGAACATTGTGTTATATTACGAATGAACTCTTATTGCAATCCAACAGGCATAAAATAGTGTTCATTGTGGCGCCAATGTATAATTACACAAGTTCTCTTGCGAGCATTGTGTTATAATACGAGTGAACTTTTATTCCAATCCAACTCGCAAAAAAGTGTTCATTCTGACGCGCTGCTGAAGAACCGAAAAAAAAGACGCGGAAAAGACCCGAACATACCATGAGTCCTGTCTGCAGCATGAAGTAATGACAGGTCTGTGTGACGTCGGCGCCATGTATTAAATTATGGTATGGGTTATCGTGTAGACTGTAGCCAGCTTCTATACGGTCCAGGAAGGAGATGAGGTTGCTCACTGGAATTTTGAATTTGGACACTAGATCGTAGCGGTTCAGTAGTTCATACGTGACGTACTTCAAAGCAGACCCGTTGGCCGCCTCGTTCAGAGCAAACATGTCTACGTTCCATTCGTCTATCCGCTAAACAAAAACTTAAAATTTAGTAGTTAATAAACAAAGATTTAGACTTTTTCTCACTTTTTACTGATTGTTTACACTTTCAAAAGCAAGTGTCTAGTAACCGGCAACTGAGCATTTTTCCAGTAAACAATTTTTTTTTACACATTTGAGGTTGTCTTGTTATCGAGCCTTCTGGAGGTAATGCACTTACCTTTGAACCTTGTGGTCTGGGGTACGAGTCCCAGCTGTGCATGTTTTTTTTTCAGCGTATGAAAATATTTTTTTTCCAGAAAAAATTGAATAGACTGACTTTTGTTTGTCGACTTAAGACTTCTCGGCTTAGTTGCCACACCACGGTTTTATTTCCCGCGTACGCAGTTTTTATTGTCATTTCGAGTGTCGCTGATTAACACCTGTTGTTCGTAATATTGCTAATCATGACTAGTGTATTTTTTGTTTTTTTTTAAAAAAATTTTTGCGCTTAGAAATTTTATTCGGCCTAAAGGATTTCGGCTTATAATATTCCGGCTTAGTGAAATTATTTTGCAATAGCTTAACGGTAAAAAATGATTGCTTTTAAGTTTGATAAATCAAGTTGGTTGAAATTCAAAAGTTGAAAATACAAACTATTTTTTCGCTCAAAATTGCTCGATAATGTTTACATTTCCTAAGTTTTTTCCTATGACAATTTTTTTTCAATAAAATTTGAATTACCGGACTTTGGTTTGACTGCTCGAGTTTTTTTCGGCTTCGTTGCCAGATCACGAAACTTGCTTGTGCTGTAAGCTACTTCCATTTTAGTTCAAGTGCAAGTGTTGTTTAAAGTAGTTTCAAGAGAGACTTGAAATTTTTAAACTTTGAAAAAAAAAGTATTTTATTTTCGGCTCAACTTGCGTCTGCTCAACCGTTGTCGGCTTATTTGTTTTATAACGGGTTTTTCTTGTTCTGCTAGCAACTTTCATTGAAGTTACAAGTACAAGTGTTGATTAATGTAGTTTCAGGGGGACCTGAAATTTTAGTATTCAAATATCTGGCATCTTGACCTAAAATGAACTTCAACCAAGACCAAGAAATTTAAATTTTGGTAGACCTAATTATTTCAACTTGTTTAAATTTTTTTATTTTTGTTTTATGTTAGTTTTGTATCGCAAGTGATCCCAATTTCCGCTTCGCCTCTGCGTTTAAATTACTGTTGGTAATATAATTTTATGACAACAAGCTTAGATGAAAATTAATATCTTCATAAAACAGACAAAATTTTAAATTAATTCTTTATTTGTACAGTGATTTTCATTTTTTGCAACATTTTTCAACAGCGTGCTTAAATTTTACAAAAATTGTTATCCTGGTAATCTGATTTTATGAATTATTACTGAGTTATTTCAATCATCCAACTGTGAAAAACTATCGCAAATCCAATTATTACTGGAATTGCTTCCGTCTGGTAAATTACGGTCTAGAGTCACCGATTTTACTTACTAAATAAGTACAAATTTTGTAAATAGTGCAAACTGAATAAAATTCAATGTGTTCAATGTAACAAATACAATTTTGCACTTCGCGAAAGGCTACGTGTCCAGTCTATCCCCTTGGAAAGGCTATAAGTCCATTTTTGATGAAAACAAGGCGTCCATCTCACCATATTTTGATATTTTTCTGATTTGGGATGTTTTGCTTTCCTTTCTCAAGCAGCGAATCACAGATCATTTAAAAAACATTAACACACCTTTAATTAAAAAATCAGCTTTTGCATAGTGTTAATTAACGAGTCAACCACTCTGTTCACGGTATGTTCAAGAGTCTCAAACCTTGAGGTGTGGCACTAAGGCTGGCGGGTAAGACAATCCCTGAAGTCCAGACATGCGTCGGAACATTCGCTCCACGAACATGCCTGCTCGGAGTGCGTTAACGATACTCTTGAATTTGGGCTTCTCCCCGTCTTTCCTGCCGGTGCCCATTTTGCGGGTGAAGGTGGACGCCAGCCAGTCTCGAACCTCCTCCGGCACTGCGGAAGCGTCCACTTCAGAGAGGTCATCGTCTTCACGCCCTTTTCGCCTAAAAGAACACGCAAGAGATCTATGAGTGAAACAGGATCTCTTTAACTATATCCCCCTTTTGCAAAAGAGGGGGGGATTCGTTACTAGTTATGAATTCTGATATGCTTAACCGTTGATTTATTTCTTTATAAGGGGGGTACTCGTTATTAGGTACTCTAGGGGGCATATAGTTAAAGTGATCCGTCAAAAAATTATCGAAACTTTTTTTTACAGCGAGTTCATAAACCATGCTGCGCGTAGACAAAATAATCTTGATCCCTCGATAAAAGTCAGAGAAGTAAAAAACAATACTTCATTGCAAAAGAGGCGCATAAAACTAGCAGATTGTTATTTCAAAACGTATAATTGAGGTTCTATTAGATGTGCATTCTTTTTTTTTGTATGCCGGACGAAAAAATCGAAGATAGAAAATGATCTCAAAATTATTGTTGCTGCCTGCCTAAAATATTTTCTAGAGAATAATGACTCGTAAAACAGGGAGCCTAAGTGGCTGTAAGATGTCAAGAACGTTTTAAGTTGATTACACTCATTAGTCAAATTGACAAAGGAAAAATTAAACACTTCCGAAACGGATATGCTCTTCCCTTGTCAATGAGATAATAGCAAAAACTGAAAATAACATTCACAGATGAGAAAATAGAACTTTGAGGTGCTTGTAAGGTTTAAATTTCAGCCTGAAGCCCTTTCGGCCTGAAGTCCCTTCGGCTTGAAGTCCAATCGAATTGTTGTCAATCGAATAGACCCAATAGCAAGATACCATTACAGTACCTCAGTAAATTTTATTCTTTATGAGGCTTGGCCACGCGGTGTTTACCCTTATTAGTTAGCAGGAACAGCGGTAATTCGAACTGGGCGACTTCAGGGTACCTCAATTATACCTAGACACCTAGACATAACAAAATAATTTTATTGTGGTTTGTTATCTCTAGGTACTTTCTGATATCCAGAACACTTTATTTGAAATAAAAATAAATTTAAATGGGAGTTTATAGGAACATAGCCAAGAGATAGTTGGAAAAATTTAAAAGAACAAGTGAACTAAAACAAAAATTGATTAAAATTTTCAATCATTTTTTGAATCTGGAAGTTCTCTACGCCTATGATAAGCAAATGGTATCAAATCGGAATACAGACTTTTTTCGGGCTAACAGCTCAAATAACAGAATCCCTTGAACCAATTGGTATCTCGGTTCCTAATGAATTCAAACTTCTAAGCGTCTCCGGCACCTTTAGTCTGGAGGTAAAGAATATGCTTGGGTTGCCAAAAGTCTTCGGTTCGAATCTGAAAGAAATTGTTTTTTTTTGTCCATCGATTGGGAAATTATCCGTTCAAAAACATTGTCGGCTTAATATTATCTACTTATGTTTTGTTGACTTAGTTGTCATGTTGTAGAATTGTTTTTGCTTAACTTTTTTAAAAACATTTATTTGCTTTTAGTGTTCTGATTTAACTCTGTTTTTGTAACTTTAATTTTATTCAGCTTGACTTCTTATATATATTTTTTTCTTCGTTTAAAAATTTTAATCGAACCAAAATTTTTATCAGCTTAGTGATCTCAATTTTAGTCCTTTCAATGAAAACGATTTTTTCATGCTCATTTCTGGATTGCACAAAAAGCTAACAATCTTAATAAAATTATAGTTAAAGTTTTCTTGACAATAATTTTTTCCGGCTTTTTTTTGTTTTTTAGGTTTTGGCTTAGGGGCCTCCTATTGTTTCATTCGACAAGTAAATGAAATTTTTTGAGTGTTTGTGTGTTTTGAGGGTGAGGCGGACTTATTAACTTTCCAGAAACCTAAAGTTTTGTTGATTTTTTTGGCTTGAAGGTATTTTTGGCTTTGAGACCGCTAGGTTTAATATCTTCCGATACCTACTTCATATTCTTTTGCCTTGACATGATTTTGTTTCAAAACTAGCCTTATTCATTTTGATAAATCTATTTTTTCCGACATTTTCGAATTTTGATTTCATTTTTTTTCCTGTTTTGTATCGCAATTCTCGCGAAAATCAATTTCGACTTTAAATTAATTTTTCATAAAAAACTCTCAATTGTTTTTTTGTCGGGTTCATGGTTATCGTCCTAGTTTGTGTAGGTTCAATTTTCGTTTTGATTTGAACCGTTCTACGTTCAATTCTTTTAAACGGTAAGTTTTTCATTGGCTTTCTTCTTAGAGCATGGGTTTTGTTCCATTTTAAATTGTGCTTTACTCTAACTGAAACTTTAATAATTTGTAAATTTACCACTTCTGGTTTTGCGTTGTTTTTGCTTTTGATTTTTATTTGTTGATTCGGCTCTTTTCCAGTTTCCGACTTCCTCATAAAATCACAAAAGAAAGTAGCTCAAAAACTGTTCACACGGTTTTTCTATGAAAAAATTGTTGTAATAATTTGTTCATATTTTTCAAGTTGACACGATTTGAAACTCTATGAAATTTTTTTGACACAAGTTTTGTTTTCATCTCAACAAGTTTTTAAAAATTGTGGTCCTTGCTGCCGCTCGATTGGTTTCCAATGTTTTAAGACGGGTTCTGAACGTCTTCCGAAACAACCATCAAGTTTTTGTAGCTGTAGTTTTTTTTAAAGTTATTATTTCAAGTAATATTTTCAACTTTTTTTTCAAATTTTTACTGACTATATATTTACAGTCTTTTTTATTGACTATATTGAAGCGAAATTTAAATTTTTTTAGCTAGCTCGAAACAGGTTGTCATCAAAATGATTTTCAGTTTGAAACAAACATTTGAATATTTCAGGTGTTTTTTTTTGGAATTTTGTCTTTTTTATAAGAGTTAGTGGTTTTGTGTATCGCAAGTGTTGCAAAGCTCAAGTTCACTTCTGTGTTGATTTTCAAGAACCGCTTACGATGGCCTTTTCTTTAAAAAAAAATTTTTTGTTTTAAAGAAAAAAATTAGACCATAAGATAATATTTTGAATCGATCACATTTTTTGTGTCCTTTACATTTTGCTGCTTAATTTGAAGGTTGCCTTCCTTTTTTACAAAAAAAGTGAACTGAACTTGAAAAAAATCAAAAGCCAAACCACGAAAAATCAAATTTGGGCTTGAACATTTTTTCTGAAAAAACTCAGTAAAAACAAAAAATCATCAAAGCATATAAAAGTAAACATCATTTCGTTTTTTTACACTGAAAAATTGTTATCGGAATATGACTTATTGTTTTATCTAAAAGGCAGGAATTGTTTTTATCTGTAATTATCCATAATTACTAAATGCAGGGGCGGGATTAAGGGGGGGGGGCGGACGCCCCCCCCCCCCTCAGGGATTCGATCCCCTGCCGACCCTTTGGTACTTATTAAGAAATCCATTTTTTGCCAACCGACCCTAAAATTTTTCTAAAGGCGCCTTTGGCGCCAAAATATTCTATTTTTGAGGGGGAGCGCGCGCCGAAAAAACGCAATTTTTTGGTCAAAATTTTCCAAAAAGTGCCTAAAAACGCCTTTTTTGGGTTGTTTTTTCAAATTTTTGCATGCGGCGCAGAAAATATTGCCAAAAAAGGGACTAAACCATGCTTAAGGAGAGCTCAAAAATCAATTCGGTCGACCTAAAAAAAAAGGTCGACAAAAGTTTCGAAATTTTTTTTTTGGAAAATCCGCCCCCCCCCCCCCTCGAGAAAATCCTAGATCCGCCCCTGACTAAATGATTAGATTATAGCCTGAAAGAGAAAAATAAGTAGAAAAGTTTCGCTCATATCAAGGTCTAACTCTTATCATTACAATTGTCTAAAATAAATATAGGTGATTAATTGATCCAAAAAATTAAAACTGTACAGCTGTCGTGCTGATTTAAATCCATTTGATTTTATTTATTTAAACCTTTTTCATAACACATTTTTTTCAGAAATTGAAAGCTGTGTTATACTATAGAATAGCACTACATGCAGCAATGGACAACTCACAAGAACAAATCAATCGCATAAAAAGAGAACTAGCAATGATTTGGTATGCATTATGGCTGTGCCGCTAGTTACCGCGGGGCTGGCCTTAAAGTGAGACCTTATTAAGACATCGTGTTCCTTCCTTTAGGGTCGTCTTAGAAAAATGATCCTTCCTCCATTAAGGCAATAATGTTGCAAAATAATTTCAGTACCAATAGATGCATTCTTTTTGAATTATAGTGAAGTCTTCAGAAAGAAACGTCAAACTCACAATAAAAGATGCTTTTCAAAGTGTTCAAAAACCAAAAATTGTAATACCGAAACAAAAAACATTTTGGAACTCCAAGTTGATAGAGACGATAAATGCCTTGTACTTTGGAAACATGGCAAATTTTTCTTAGAAAACCTTTCCATCTTAATTGGTTTACATTTCCGTCTTTAGGGAGAGTTGATTTTCCTTCCGACACCTACAGATCATCCTACTTTTATCGCCATAATTGAAAAGTCCTTTATTCGTAATTAACGTAACTTTAAAATCAGCCCTGCTTAGCTACCACAAGGCCGGACGCTGAAATTGGAACATTTTCACAATAACTAGGGCTGAAAGTTTTGTCACGACTCTCAAAAACGATATCCAGCAATTATACTACAACAAGACTGCTCAAATCGAGTCGAAAACCTCATTTTTACAGCTGGTCTAAAAGTTTAAACAAGACTGCTCGTATATCAGGGGAAAGCCCTGAATGTTCAGACTGTCCTGTATTTCATATCGAATAGTTTTTGGGAAAATAAAATATTGAAAACCTATAAAATTTTTGGACAATATCAAAGCGTGAAATGTTGAGTTGTACGAAATTAATACGACCGATCTGGCTACGTAGCAGTATTTAGACAACCACGTATTCAGACTCGTCAGCAAGCAGACAAATACTGCATTAAATAATCAGAAACGAGACAAGGAAGAAATGAATAATTAAAAATTTTTATTTCGTAAGTTTGCTTTCTCATCTCGATTCAAATAATTTAGTCCAGAACTTGGCAAATTAGGCAATTTTGAAACCCCCCAAACTTTACAAAAAATAATTGAAGGTAAATTATCTTTTTAAATTTGAAAAAATCTGTCGAAAACTAGTATTTCGATCGGCGAAAATTGACTGAATTAAAAAAAATCACACGGAGCATATATAATCCGTTCTCTTCGAAATTCGGGGCAACAAAAAATATGTTGTGTCAAAAATGATGAATGCTTGAAACAAATGGTTATGATAGTTTACACTTTTTGTATTTGAAAAATTCAGTCATTTTCTTTTTGCATTTGAAAAATTCAGTCAAATTCAGACTTTCCATTAAAAATGCTGATTTAAAATTGAGTGTTCGTTTGTTGTATCGCCTGAGTTTAATTTGATTATGAAATATTTTGTTAGGCCATCAATTGTCATCAATTATCACACATTATCTCTTTTGCACACATTTTGCTCAAGTTTTGAAGAACGTGTCGAAATATTTTATTGAAGTACTATTCATTGAATCGATTTTGTTTAATTTCTAAGATATTAAGGTGCTAGATATTTTGAATTCACAAAACCAATTTTTTCGGCTTTTAAAAAAGCAACTAATAATTTGTGCTTGGGGTGGTTTTTATTCAGTCAAAAATCTACTTTTTAACCATCCGCAGCGTTATTTTACCATCTGAAAACATCATCAATTTTCTAACCAAGCGTTTTTTTTTACCATCTGAAAACCATTGCTAATTTGCGCTCGTCTTCAAAAAGCTTCTTTAACTGTGACTTTTTTTGTAAAATTATAATAGTTTGAAAATTACTAAAACGCGATATGTTGCTTTCTTTCAACACGCATAAGCGACAAATTCAATCAATTCATTTAAGTTGAGGCCAGCAATGACTTCTTATTAACACGAAGCGCGGCTCTGTATGCATTTTTTTTTGCATTTTACATAGCGCGCTGGGGGAGGAATTGAAGACAGAAAAAAATTTTAAAAAAAACATTCACTTTTTCTAAATTTTGATCAAGTTTTTATCGATTTTGACAGAATTGATATTTCAAGTATTCATGGTTTTCTAGGGGTATGGCTTATGTTACTTTTATTTGTTTCTGAAAGCTTCATATTTTTTAAACAAACACTGCTTCATTGCTCTTAAAAGGTAGTCAGAACATTCAAGGGGTTACTTGAATGTTACGTTTTTTAACTAGTGGTTTTTGACGTTTTAATTTTTATTTTTTAATATCATCTGAAAACTATTGGTCTGAAACTGAAATTGATGTAAATAACTACCTGTTATCTTTTTTACTGAGTTATGAGAAATTTAAAGTTACCAGCTTGGGATAAATTAACGCGCGATATACTTCGTGCTATTCACGCTCACGCGTGAGCGGCTTTCTAATTCGGCGCAGAAACCGTTCCGAACTAAACAGAAGCATGCTAGTTTATTTGATTAATAGGTAACTCTATATTAAATATATCACTTTGTACTTTAAGCACTATGAGAGAATGATTTTAAAATATCAAAAAATTTCCATTTTTTTTAAAAAACATTTCGTGAACAATAAAGAGCAATCATAACATTCAGAGCGTCCCCTTGGTACCATCATGCTATTCATTTTTTTTTGTTTACGGTTCAGTGAGCTTAAAAATGTGATCTGAATGGGCTAAATTTTGTGCGCTTTGTGTTCTAGTGTATATGAAAGCGCGAGTGCGCAATGAACTAGCCGCATCGCTCAAGCTCTTTCTAATTTCAAGTTCAGCCCATCTAATTGGTTCATGCAGATGCAAGGTATTTGAAAAGAATTTAAGCCCCAATAGTGAATCTACTAACTTATCAATAAAAGAAAATATTTTTTTTTCAACTGAAATTATTGTCCAAAAACTTGTATAAAAAAATAAGGGCAGTCGAATAACGCGTTGCTGTGCCCTGATGCGGGCTTTTCTTACATTTTAAGAAAGTTATAATAAAATTGGAGCGTAAAAATTGGATTCCAAAAATCTATCTAGTTATCATACTTGGTATATACTAAACATAAGATAGGGTTTTCCAAAAAGTCTTTTCAAGTTTTTAATTCTAAATGTTTTTTTTTGTTTTTTTTTCGCTTTTGAATGCAAAATTGAGTTTTCGCTTTCGTATTATAATTATGGCAATTAGCATTTTAATAGTATTCAAGTCAGCTGAAATAAAATTGTCATCAACGACATGCGCTAAATTAAACTCTACTGAATCAGTCACAATGTTTCCAGGAAACAGGAAATACCAAGAGATTGATTGAGAAAAACTGACAAGCAAAAGGACCACATTTAAACTCAAAAAAGTAAATCAATTGAAAAACGTTTTAAAAGTGACAGTGAAACAACTTAAGACACGCAATTTTTTTCTTTTCCTGCAAAAGTCTAAGTTCGAAAAAAATTGAAAATTTTTAAATCTTTTTTTTTCGAACTATGACCTACAAAAGTGAAAGTTCGAAAAAACTTGAAACAAAAAAATGAAATCTCGTGTATACTATTGTACCTGTCTGTGGAAGCACGTCGTATTTTGGCATTCACAGTCACTTGGTAAGGACCCATGGAACGAGATGGTAATTCTAACTTAACTTTCGGGCTAACGGCAGGTTCGGCTAAGGTTTCTCTGGGAGCTGATTTTTCTTGAGTTTCGCTGATTGTTGAATTGGAACCGGAATTTGGACGTTCTTCGGATTTCGTAAAGGCAAGAGGTTTGGAAAATGTTACTGACACGGGTGGTTTCTTACCATCCAGTTCTTTTGACTCGGTTTCCGAACTAATTGAGAAGTTGCCCGTCGTTTTTGAACTCATGAAGGAAGGTGAATAAATAATTTTTTCGTCGTTTTCTGTAGCACCGAAATTGTCTTCAGAGAGTTCTGATTTTGAGGTTGACGAAAGTTGCTTTTCTTTTACCGAATTTGCAAAGACATCGCAAGTTGAATTTTCTATAGTAGCACCTTCTAACGTCAGCGTGGAATTCGACGAGTTATCATTTCGGCTAGCTGACTCGCCGAATGGCTCTTGTCCCATTCGCGATGACGTCAGACATACGTTCGTAGTACGACGAAGTGACGGCTGGCAACTGTGCGAGGCAAGGAAGCGTCGTATCTGCTCGGGTTTTGCAGTGCACTCGGAAAATCGGCGAAAGGGCGCAGTTGTCGATTCCAGCTCGTCGGCGCTGTGGAACGAACACGACTGGCGGTTGAAGAACTCCCGAATGAGTTTCGGATTGTCAGTCTCCGACATCATCGGAAGGTAATCGGGATACTCGTGGTGTTGAAAGGGTAAAAACGAGTTAAGAGCCGAAGTTGTTCTGTCTCTCGGAAATGATGCGCGTCTCGTTTCATTTTTCGCTTCCACACGATTATGAAATGCCATATCGGTGAATGACATCGCAAATTACCAGTAAAATCAGCAGCAACGACATCCAGAAAAATTAATAAAGGCACATGTTTGAAGGATTAAATTTTTTTGTTTGTTCTTGCTCTAAACGTTAGCAAAACATCAAAACTGTGATTTGTTGTGAATTGTGAAGATTTGTTGTGAATATGAAAAGAAAAGGTTAGAATAATTGAAACATCTATTGGTTATAGTTCTTCTCATGTTTTTTCTTCAGGTAGTTTGGTTTGTTTTTACGTAAATAAACAGCTAACAGCAGTTAGTTCTTGTAGTTGACAAAGACGATGATAAGCGGCGTTTAGGAACGGCGGTGAAAATGAAATTTTCCAATTTAGCTGTAAAAGGCAGATTGTGTAAAATGGGCGTTGGGAAAATGGCCCTCAGCAATGGGAAGAGAAAAAATCATCACGGCTGGGAAGAAGGATTAGTCTGTTCGGGGAAGGGGAAGGGGAAATTCGACTGAAATGGTGATAAAACTGCTGACAAGAAAAAATGAAATGGTTTCGATAGCTGAAAACTCATTTTACTCCGTACGTTTTTCGCAACTTCAATCGCTTTTATGTGAAATGCGCTGAAAATAACTAGTTATCTTTTTTATAACATGTTCTTTTCATTTTATAACCATTTGCGACCAACTATTATTCAAATTGCAACAACTAAAATACCATTTTGCGAAGTTAATTTGCTAAAAAGAAGAATAGAGAAGCGCTAATATTCAAGTAAACGCCGTGCCACTGAGCACCGGCCCTAAAAACCTGTCAATTAAGTTACTATCTCAAAAGGAAAAGTTTACTACTTCCTCGTTGATAACAAAAGAACAAGGTTTCATTTGGAAAATGGGAAGCAAAATTTTTGATCGAGTTTGCCCAATTGGTGCTGTTTGATAGAATAATAAACAAAAGTGTTGGATAAACAATGGAATAAAATCAGTGTTTGGGAAAAACGGTTTACGTCAAACCTTTCTCTCTATTTACTCAAAGTGTTCTGGCCATTTTGTATAATTAAACTGAAAGCCGAGGGTAAAATCAAATATACCAGTTGAAGGAAACCTGCTTTTATATAATATAAGTAAGTTAACCTAGTTAAAAGGACGCACGTATCGGCTGGAAATTTATTGCGCCAAAATCCTTCCGGTGAATATCTCGCACCTGTGCAGACTAATTAAAAAAAGCTGGTATAAGCAAACGCGCTTTGACCCCCAGTTAGATGGATACAATTGCACTACTTTATTTAAAAACGATTTTCAATGCTACACGAAGACAAAACCGTTGGTGTCAGCGCCAATCCCTGAATCTTCAAAATGCCCTGTAAATTATCTGAGATAAATTTGGGTACAAAAAATGGACATTTTTTAAAGTTATTTCCATTTCACAGGCGAGAAAATGTGTACTTTACATGTAATCGGAAATTAGACTTTTTCTTTTTAACACAGTTTCTAACAAATCTGTGAGAAATTGACCTGTTTTTCTTATGACAGCTTAATAACTACCAGGCTTTTTTGCTCTTGGCTTAGTGGTAAAGCCTTGCCTTTGGGCCCCAAGGTCTAGGGTTAGAGTCCCGGTCGGACCTTGTTTTTTCGATTGATAATGTTTTTTTCCTTGGAAAACTTGAATTTTTTGACTATCTTTGACTGCTTATTTTTTTTGTCAGCTTAAGTTGCTAAGCATCGAGTTTTCAACTGATTTTACGAATTTTCTACTGTGATTGGAAGTCCTTCTGTAGTTTATAATCTTTCTAACTTTGATTTTGAATAATTTCTATTTTTTTTTATTAATTTATTTCAGCTTGTTACATCAGCTTTTTTTGTATTGCGTTCTTCGAAGTCTACAAAAAAGTTTTATGCTTTTTTGTGTTTAAGAAGGGGTGGGATGAAAAAGCTTCGAGTTTTCAACGTCGAGTACAAAATGGAATGCTTTCGTTTTTCAAACCAATGTGGAGAGTTAATTAAGTAATCCGAATTACCTTAAAAAATAAAAATAGGAAGCTTATCATGATCGTCATCTCTAAATATAGAGCAACAGGCAATAATCTATGATTTTTTATTGAAACAGTTATGCTACGTTTTTTTAGTAATTTTGCTAATATATTTTTTTATCAAATACGGGTCTAAATGATATCTGATGATGCCAAAGAGAGGTTAAGTTTAGGTGATACACTTTTTTGCCAGGGGGACTTAAAAAAACGCCTGTTAAAAGCTGATTTTGCTCTAAAGTATCTATTTATGAAATTTAAAGTTATAAGAAGAAGTTGAAACCAATTTTTGAAGACCTTACGCTCATCGGGGGTATCAATAGCCTCATAATGAGCCTGTGGCTGGAGCAATTAATTTTACAATATCGATTTGGAATTGCCTCCAAGAAAGAGACGAAAAATGAAAAGCGGGGCAATTTCTAGGCATTAGTATTTTTCGAAATCGATTAGGTGGAGTGCGTCTTTGTCAAGGAAACAATGTTTAAAAACGGGCGGGTGAACGGAAGCATGCAGCGTGACCATTATGACCCTAGAAGACTGTATCACTTAATACACCCGTGCAGCTAGCCTAAAGTACCCAAGTCACTTGGAAAAACCCAAACATATCCATTGTTCTGCTTACAGTTAGTCTCAGAATTCTGTAGGCTTAGGTAACTGAAATATTTTAGATTCCCGTAGTGAAACAACAAAGGAGCGGAAAAATTAGAAAGAATGGTAAAAATGATGGAAAAGTGAGAAAAGTTGGTGATCATCCAAGTATGAAATGCTCCATCTGCAATATCCCACTTTTACGACATCCAAATTTGAAACAGCCCAAAAAGAAAAAATAATAAACAGGCCGGTAAAAGTAAAAATAGCGTGAATATATTTTTTATTATTTGCTGTTCCCTGGAACAGATATTTAGGAAGGGCTCGTGATGATATTATTTCGATATCATAAAAAACAGTTCCTGGTCCCAAGGGACGAAACGGAAGTAATAAAGTAGTAAATTGAGTCTTGTTTAGAGAGAAATGAAAGTTGCTGCAACTTGTAAGACTTTAACAAGATCCAGAAACAAAGATGTTTCGAAACAAGCCGAAAAATATCTGAACCGAAAAATATAATAAAATCCAGAAATCGTTTAAAAGAGCAAACTTTTATTCTCTTGTAAATGATATCAAAGATAATCAGTTAAACATAAGTTTTTATTATGATTAATTTATTATTTGGTTGTTTTTTATTTTGGTGCATCAAAAAGTTCGTTTTATTTTTTTAAATTCTCGTCAGCGAAAAACAATGGTATTGAAAAAGGTTTATAGTTAAAAAATTAATTTATACCGAAAAAAGATTATTTGTTTTTCTTATACTTATCGATGCAGTTTGAATCGCAACCGAGTATTCATTAATTTAAAACGGAGATTTTGTGTCAAGCGGGGCAATTTGAGTGAATGATGTTTTTGATAATAGATTGATAAAAATCGAATTTACGATAAAATGTTTTTTTTTTGCAAAAAACTGCGGTTCGCATTTTTGCTTCGTTTGCTTGGCCAATAAACAAGAACTTCAAAAAATGAAAATTCAATTGGAATTAATTATGTAAAAAATGATGAGATGATTACGTAATTCTACGGTTTTCAGCAGTCGAAAAAGAGGGTGTTGTGTAGATAACCTCGAAATCCGTTATTTGGACGATAATTCATAACTTAAAACCAGGTAGCGTTTCATTAGCTTTTAATCCATTAAACAAGAATGAATAAAAGTTGGTGCCATTTGAATTATATAAAAACAATAGCAGTGACGCAAATTGGAAAAAAAAGAAGAAAAATATGACTCAAATATTCTACAAGAACAATACGCCAGAGCTAAAAATATACCAGCCGTTTTTGCTGAGACAAAATTTAAACGTGATTACTCAAATATATTTTAGCTTTGTATTATTTATTAATGGGAGATGGAAGGTTCGATTTTTTTCGTGGCTGAATTTTCAAACACTTCATGTGATCTTTTCGTGCCGCCGTTTTTAAACTTTGTTTGTTGTTTGTTTTACGAGATAAAACGCAGTGTGAGAGGACAAGTGGAAAAACAAGTAATATAAAAGGTACAACGAAAAAAGAAAGTAATTCTTAAAGGTTTTTTCAGTTTCTTCAATCATACATAAAACGATATCTGAAGAACAGTAATGGTTTGACTGTTTTAGTGGAATACTGCATGAACGTGAAGCTAATGCATATTTTGTTCCAAAAATATAGATTTATTTGGAGCAAGCAGTTTGAAGTGTAATTGTAAAAGATAGTAGGGCATCGCGTATTTTTTGGAGAGAGAGAGAGAGAGTATTGGATCAAAAATAACTGACACGACTTAAATTTGACCCCAAGCTGTTTTCGGGGGAAAATTTGCTCCCCTAATGTCGCTTGAGGGAGCGATATAAATATATGTATGGCTTGCAAAATGCTTGACACAATTTTTTCCCTCTGCCGTTTGAACGCAGAAATTAACTAGTTCTTTTTTGAACGAAAAATAAGCGGTTAATTATTATACCAACAAGTGTGTCTTTATTACACGCATATTTTTCAAAAAGGAATAAAAAATAAGAGTTTCGTTCGATAAAATCGCACAATAGTATTTCAGCATTTTAATAAATTTTTGTGTCCTCTTATTTTGATGGTAAAACAATTGAAAATTGAGCAAACACTTTTTGTAATTTAACATGTGAGATATCTTTTTTTTAACTTAAAAGGCTTTTTTGAGCGGTCATTTGGTATAATTATTTCCGCATAAGTAGCAAATCATTTTGATTGCTTAAAAACCACTGACCTTTTATCAATTCATCAGATGTCTAAGCACAGCATGGGCCCTTGGGGGTAGAGAGCTTTTCACTAATGATTAAATGATCTGGATCTTGTGAACTATTTCCGCCTATTGCTAGGTGAATGCTACAAGTTGTCAAATTCGTATGTCTTTAATCTTTGGTTTCATTCATTTCAGGGTGGTAGTTCTTACAAAGTATCATTTGATAGGAGTATTGTTTCATGCAAAACTAAATTTCGGTCTTCTTTTTCTGCAAAAAAAATCTATTGCTTGATTAAGTGAATCTGATTTAGCGAAAAGTCAAAAAATTTGCTAAATTATTTCTTTAAAGAGGATATTCTTATCACAATCGATGCTCAAACTATTGACAATACTCAGCTCTTACGTAATGATATAATCAGTTGAAATAGGCCACAAAAAATAGAATAGCTTAAGTTGTTCACAAAAACTCAAAAGTGAGAAAAATACACTTTCACAATAGTTTATATTTATCGAAATTTTATTGAAAACTTATCGAAGAGGAAAAAACAGGCACATAAAAATTTCCAGGTTGTTTATATTTATCGAAATTTTATTGAAAACTTATCGAAGAGGAAAAAACAGGCACATAAAAATTTTCAGGTTGTGAATTTTTGGATAATTAAGCGTTTTATTTTACCCCTATGACAAGTATTATGGGAAATTGTTACCTCGTGGTATAAATTTTGCGATTAAAAATTTGCAAATTAGGTGTCTCATATGAAAAGCAATTCAGAAAAAAATTGCTTCAAGTTGCAACATCTGTTTGCTTTTTCTGCGTTATCTTTTTTAACGACCGAACGTGTATTGTGAACAAAATTATGATTTACGCCAAAACGAAAACAGCTTTTTTGCTTAGTTCAAGTCCGTTTGCATATTAGTTAAACTGCCTCTAAGTTATTCACAATTAATTGCAAAGGGATTTTTCGTCTCTGCACTTGAAATTAACCTTTTAGAAATTTTGAGTTTGCAGTGAATGTTGCATTAACCTAGATTTTTTCTAGGTTTCATATCATATATGAAATTGAAAAATTTTTCGGACTAGGAAAATTCGGATTTTTTTCTCAATAAAAATATTTCCATAAACTGAAAAAATTTTTTAAACTTTATTATTCAAAAACAAACAAATAGTAAAATTTCGGAATTTTTGAAACTGATAAAAAGGGATTGGCATAATTGGCAATTATGTGTTCCGATTTGAAAAAATATTTAGAATATTTTCAATACTCAAAACTTGCAAAAAAAGTGTGAGCGACGAGTTTTTAGGGCAAAGACAGTAAAACTGTAATAGAAAAATTTCATAGCAGTTGAGTATTTCTCAATTTTTCACGAAGTAAATTTGTCGAACACCAGAGGGCAGCAAAAGTGTCGTATTATTGCAACTAAGAGACAAACGATTTTTGATCACAAAATTTTAGAAGTCTTCACAATTTTCCCACAATTTTTTTCAGTTTCTGATTGAAATTTTTAAAATGAAATTCAAAATGTTTCTTATAAAAACCAATAATGAATAACAAAATTCTGAAAAAAAAGAAGTTAACGCCATTTAATGAATGTTTTGTATTCCTCCTGTTTTTATAAAAAGCCAACCTTTGCCATAGTCATACTCTTCTGTGCTTTCTCACTGTTAGCGTTGTAACCGGATACACTTTTTCCATTAACTGTTTCTTATTTTTCGTTAAAGTTTTAGTTTAACTCCACTTCGCATTTGTTTTAATTCCCATTCTAGAAGAAAACAACAAATTAGTTGTGCTCGGGTTGGTTTTTCGACTTTTTAGCTTTTATATTTGACGGATTTTTTGATATCAATCAAAAGATATTGTTGTCTAGAGCTCAAATTAAAAAATTATCGTTCGTTGATTTTTTTCAAGGTTATGGGGGTTTAAAGATTGTCAATGTGGACAATATGGAACAATAAACGCGCTATATATTTTGTGCTATTAACGTGTAAGCAGAGACTTAATCCCTTTTTGAAATCGTTTCAAATTGGAATCTGACATGCTTTTTGGTTTCCTTAGAAGTTTTTGTTTTTGTAAATGATGTATTTTGTAATTTACAAAGCGAATAGGTGGATGGTATTCAAAAATATCTAAAAAGTTTTTGAATCCTTTCATTCAATTTTGAACAACTTTTCATTAATTTTTGAAATTATCCTATAAAAATTAAAACGCAGTCGGAATACTCAAGGCTTGGTCCTGATACAAAAAGTCTTTTGTTTCAGTTTTAAAGTTTTTTTTAAAAGGTTTTAAAAAATATGCGGAAACAGCGTTAAAATTTTTTGTTCATTTTAATTTTTTGGTTCTTCATTCAAGTTTGGAGAGAAAATGATTCATTGATATGGAATGCTTGTTTAATAATTGCCCAAGTTTTACTCTGCTGTCAAAACAATTGCTACCACTTAACGATTTTGTAAATTAAAAAAACATTAATTCTCAATCTTTGTGTAGTTTAAACGGTGTTCAGCAAAAAAAATCAAGAAAGGAATTATAGAGTAATAATTGAATCTCCAACGATTGCTCGTCATATCGCGGCATTATCATTTTTTTGGGACAATTAGAGTCTTTACTGTAAGTTTTGAGAGCTAGGAAAATCAAATTAAATGATAATTTACAAAAAAAATGGCGATTAATTTGAAATTTTATGGAACATAAAACCACTCAAGAAAACCTTGAGGTCCATCCTTCCACTTATACTATCATAGATCCGCCCCACGCAAAATTTAGCAAGATGAAGAGTCAGAAATACGGTGGAAAAAAAATACGGAGAGTCGGTTGATGTGCAGAAAGCCCAAAATGTTCCAATCGCAACAGTTACGCCGAGAAATTCAAAAACTAAAGCAAAACCTAAAAAAAAAATTTTTTTTTTTCATAAAAGGCAATTGAACTAGGTAAATATTAGCCAAAAGATAAGAAATTATAGATAAATCATAGCTGAAAGAGATTTAAAATGATATACCACATCTGATCCTTAACGGCATAGTCAAAACTGGAATACATAACACATAGTTTTTTTCACTTAATCTGACCACAGTGATTGAAGCAAACAAAGCGAAGCAATAGAAGAAAAACTTATTAAAAACATAAGAGCGCTTGTATGACTTTAATTATGCTAGTATAACAAAAAAATTTTAGTCGTGATTCAGGTTTCAACGTAAATCACGCAGAATTGGTTTCTCTGTTGAGAGGAAACTTGTTTCAATTTTTTGCTGATCAGACTAAACAACCG